CCACTTCTGGCTTTTTGTTTTTTGCTTATGTGGTGCTGAGGAATCGAACCCAGGGCCTCTGGCTTGCAAGGCAAGCGCTCTACCACTGAGCTATCTTCCCAGCCCGCTTATAAGGTTTTGTAACAGCTGAAGTTGCAGTATACTTAAGGAACAAAGATAAACAAGAGGTCTCCTTTGCTGTTTCTTAGGCTTGGGCCTCCTTTAGATTTGTATATTGGAGTCCTACAACTAGAAGGGATCTATAATTTCTTGGTTCAACTGGGTTTCTCTAGATGTAGAAATTCTGGGGCTGGGGAGGTGGCTCAGTGGTAGAGTGCTTGCCTTGCATGCATAAGGCCCTGGGTTTGATTCCCCAGCACCACATAAGCAAAAAGAAAAAAGCCGGAAGTGGCGTTGTGGCTCAAGTGGTAGAGCGCTAGCCTTGAGTTGAAGAGCTGAGGGACAGCGCCCAGGCCCAGAGTTCAGGCCCCACGACCGGACCCAAAAATAAATAAATAAATAAATAAAAATAAAAATAGATGTAGAAATTCCATGAGTAGTATTTTTTTTTGGGGGGGGTGTCCGGTCGTGGGGCCTGAACTCTGGGCCTGGGCGCTGTCCCTCAGCTATTCAGCTCATGGCTAGCGCTCTACCACTTGAGTCACAGCGCCACTTCTGGCTTTTTTTTCTTTTTGCTTATGTGGTGCTGAGGAATCGAACCCAGGGCCTCGAACATGCAAGGCAAGTGCTCTACCACTGAGCCACCTTCCCAGCCCCATGAGTAGTATTTTTAAAAAGGCTTTTGTAACCTTCTGGACATAGGCAACTGGCCTCTTCCTTTCGATGTAGTCTATTTTGTTACCCATATCATGTAACGTTTAGAGACTTCTTCATGTAAGTACTGTGATAGGATTAGAAATATGGATATGCATAAGGCATAATTTTACTTTTGTAAGTTTATAACCCAAATATGTATATGCTGAAATAGGAAACATTCACACATTATACCTTAATGAACTGTGCCATGTTTCATTAGCATTCTCCCAATTTTCCCTTCTTTCTAACCCTGGGTAATCAGTTCTGTCTATGAATTTGACTATCCTAGGTACTTCATGTAAATAGAATCATATAGCATCTATGCTGGCTTATGTTTTTAGCATAGTATTTTCAGGGTTCATTTGTGTTGTAGCAGAGGTCAGAATTTCATTTCATTTATTTATTTATGTTGGTTGTGGGACCTGAACTCTGGGCCTGGGCTGTCCTTGAGCTCTTCAGCTCAAGGCTAGCACTCTACCACTTGAACCACAGCGCCACTTCCGGCTTTTTCTGCTTTTGTGGTGCTGAGGAATGGACCCCAGGGCCTCATGCATGCAAGGCAAGCACTCTACCACTGAGCCACCTTCCCAACCCTCATTCCTTTTAAAGTTGAATAATACACGCACACACACACACACACACACACACACACACACACACACACGATATGATTTTTTTTCTTGGTCAGTCATAGGGCTTGAACTCTGGGCCTGGGTGCTATCCCTCAGCTCTTCAGTTCAAGGCTAGCATTGTACCACTTGAGCACAGCTCCACTTCTGGTTTTCTGGTGATTAATTGAAGATGAAGAGTCTCATGGACTCTGTGATTTTCAGATCTCAGCCTTCTTTGTAGCTAGGATTACAGGTATGAATCACTGGCACCTGGCTTACATTCTTTTTTAAGTTATTTTGGGGGGGGCAGAATTGCTTATACAGAATTATATATATATATGTTCACCTTTAATAGCTAAGATGTTTAGGAAAGCTTTTTTTTTTTTTTTTTTGGTCCGGTCGTGGGGCCTGAACTCTGAGCCTGGGCGCTGTCCGTCAGCTCTTCAGCTCAAGGCTAGCGCTCTACTGCTGTGAGCGCCACCTCTGGCTTTTTTCTTTTTGCTTATGTGGTGCTGAGGAATTGAACCCAGGGCCTCAGGCATGCAAGGCAAGCGCTCTAACACTGAGCTACCTTCCTAGCCCTAGCTAAGATGTTTTATGGGCAAAAGATAAAAATGATTTTATGTGTACTTTCACACACGTGTGTATAGCCATATATATGCGTGCATTTATTTATCTATTCATTTATTTTTGTCCCTCGTGGGGCCTGAACTCAAGGCTAGCGCTCTACCATTTGAGCCACAACACCACTTCCAGCTTTTTCTGCTTATGTGGTGCTGAGGAATTGAACCCAGGGCCTCATGCATGCAAAGCAAACACTACCACTGAGCCACCTTCCCAGCCCCATGCATGTATCTATCTATCTATCTATCTATCTATCTATCTATCTATCTATCTATCTATCTATCTATATATGCATTCCTAGTCCTATTAGCAGAGTAAAACTTGTTTATTATGTGAATCACCATATAAGACTAATACTTTTAAGCAGAATTTTTGGGAAAAACTACAGTTGTTTTGTTTTTCACAGGAAAGGAGGCAATAATAAGTTAATAAAGATCTATCATCGGGATGGTAAATACGGCTTTTCTGATCCTTTGACATTTAATTCTGTGGTGGAGCTCATTAACCACTATCATCATGAATCTCTTGCTCAGTACAATCCCAAACTTGACGTGAAGCTGATGTACCCAGTGTCCAGATATCAACAGGTATGGTCATAGTTCTTCATAGCTGTTGAGCAAGTCATTGTTTAACATAATAATGTGACTTTAGAAAATTAGGCTCATTAATTGAAAAGAAATGTACTCATTTTGGTATTTTTTTTTGTGTGTGTGTGTCTCCGTTCGTGGGGCCTGAACTCTGGGCTTGGGCGCTGTCCCTCAGCTCTTCAGCTCAAGGCTAGCGCTCTACCACTTGAGCCACAGAGCCACTTCTGGCTTTTTTCTTTCTGCTTATGTGGTGCTGAGGAATCGAACTCAGGGCCTTAAACATGCAAGGCAAGCGTTCTACCACTGAGCCACCTTCCCAGCCCAAATGTACTCATTTTGAAAAAAATTTAGATCTTTCGAAGATTTTTTTTGAAACTTACAGTATACTCTTTTATAATAGCTAATTTGTATATGTATTAACTATACAAAATATTTGTGTTTATGTGCCCATTTACACTGTGCTCCTCCTCCTCTTCCTCTCCTCTGTCCTTACCCATGTTTTCCTCTCATCTCCAACAGGGCCTCACTCTGTAGCCCAGGATGGCCTTGAACTCCTGATTTTTCTGCCTCAGCCTCCCGAGTGCTGGAATTATAGGCATGCATCACCATTCTTTGCTTTCATTTCTTAGTTTTAAAGTATTAGTTATTTTTATATGATTTAAAGATCAGTATTCATTTTAACACTAGGGATTTAGTGCTTTTGCATCATTACAGTGGCTTGAACATATAAATTTGAAATAGAATTTAAAAATAGACATGGAAAAGCATGTCTGAATTACTAACATTCTCTACTTCTTTTGTGTGCCTGTATAGGATCAGTTGGTAAAAGAAGATAATATTGATGCAGTAGGCAAAAAACTTCAAGAGTACCACTCTCAGTATCAGGAAAAGAGTAAAGAATATGACAGGCTATATGAAGAATATACCAGAACATCCCAGGTCAGTATATTTTTGTGTTTGGTCTAATAAGTATGCAGTGCTACCAGATTTTCTACAATTCCTTTGATGATCTTCAGTTGCCTTAATATCTTGAACATTTTTTTTTGGGGTCCGGTCGTGGGGCTTGAACTCTGGGCCTGGGCGCTGTCCCTCAGCTCTTCAGCTAAAGGCTAGCACTCTACCACTTGAGCCACAGCACCACTTCCAGCTTTTTTCTTTGGTTATGTGGTGCTGAGGAATTGAACCCAGGGCCTCATGCATGCAAGGCAAGCGCTCTACCACTGAGTCACCTTCCCAGCCCATTTTTTTTTTTTGGTCGGTTGTGCGGCTTGAACTCAGGGCCTGGCCAGTGTTTTGAGCCCTTTTCTCAACGCTAGCACTCTACTACTTGAGGTACAGCTTTACTTCTGGCTTTTTTGGTGCTTAATTGGTGATTAGAATCTCATAGACTTTCCTGCCCTGGCTGACTGAACCATGATCCTCAGATCTTACCCTTCACCATAGCTAGGATTTCAGGTGTGAGCCACTGGCACCCAGCTTATTGGATGTTTTTATCCTGAAAGAATGCTGGATTTTGTCAAGGGTTTTCTTGCATCAGTTAAGGTAATCAAATATTTTTTCATCCTATTAATGTAGTATATGACCTTGATACCTGTTTGTTGAATTACCCTTGTATTCTTGGGCAGTATCTTACATGATCATGGCATACATCCTTATTAATTTGCTAAGAATTCAGCTAACACTTTGTTGAGAATTTTAAAATTTTCATTATAAAAAATAGTATAATCTATAGTTTTTTTTTTTGTTTGTTTTTTGTCAGTCATGGGGCTTGAACTCTGGGCCTGGGCACTGTCCCTCAGCTCTTTGGCTGAAGGCTAGCACTCTACCACTTGAGCCCCAGCGCCACTTCTGATTTCCTGAGTGGTTTATTGGAGATGAGAGTCTCACGGTCTTTCCTGGCCAGGCTGGCTTTGAACCAGGATCCTCAGATCTCAGCCTCCAGAGTAGCTAGGATTACAGGTCTAAGCCACTGGTGCCTGGCTAATCTGAAGTTTTTAATGTAGTGTCTTGGTCTGACTTTAGTACCTGAGTAATGATGGTCTCCTAGAATGTTCAGAAGTGTCCTATTTTTTTTTGAAAAGTTTGAGAAGGATTGCTATTCTATAAATAGTTGGCTAAGTTCACTAGTGGAGCCATCTGGTTCTGGGCTTCTCTTTGTTAAGAAAACTTTGGTTTCTGATTAAATCTTCTTACTTTCTAGCCCAGAGGCTAGAAAAAAATGGCCATTGTTGCATGTGGCTTTGATGGCTCTAGAGCTGCATTTGCTTTCTTGCCTTGGCTGTAGAAAGCAGAGAACGCTGGGGCTGGGAAGGTGGCTCAGTGGTAGAGCGCTTGCCTTGCATGCCTGAGGCCCTGGGTTCGATTCCTCAGCACCACATAAGCAAAAAGAAAGCTGGAAGTGGCTCTGTGGCTCAAGTGGTAGAGCGCTAGCCTTGAGCTGAAGAGCTGAGGGACAGCGCCCAGGCCCAGAGTTCAGGCCCCACGACAGGACCCCCCCCCAAAAAAAAAAAAAAAAAGAAAGCAGAGAACGCTGCCCAAATGTTCAGTAATACTGGATAATTAAACTGTAGAAAAGGAATCCTGAAGTCAGCTGATTTGAGATTTAGGATCCTCAGGCTGGGGGATTGGGTAGGGGGTGAGGTAGAGGCAACCAAAAAGCCACTAGTGTCTAAGGAAGGATACATTTCTGAATATGGGAATTAAAGTAAGACTTGAACAGATGGGCAGAGAAAAGCCACAATAGAGGTTTAAAGCTTTGGGAAGCAAGGGGCAAGGAGAAAGAGGGACCCAGTGATTAGCAGTCCAGGAGACATGCTATGCAAATGTATTAAAGAAGGTTGAAAGAGTTGATGTTGATCTGTGTTAGGACTTCCTCAGTTTTTCTTGTAAAGTTAGGTAAAATCTACATTGCTTTGCTGTACATGAATTCTTCTTAGAGAGTGGGAAGAGATTATGTGTCCTGAGCCTGAGTTGGTTCCAGGATGGGAATAAACTAATAAGATAACCAAAATGATAACATGTGGGGATATCTGACATCAAGATTATGTATAATCAAGCCGGGTACCCGGTGGCTCACACGCTTGTAATCCTAGCTACTCAGAAGGCTGAGATCTGAGGATCATGGTTCAAAGCCAGCCAAGGCAGGAAAGTCTGAGAGACTCTTATCTCCAATAAACCACTAGAAAACAGGAAGTGGTGATGTGGCTCAAGCGGTAGAGGGCTCACCTTGAGCTGAAGAGCTGAGGGACAGCGCCCAGGGCCAGAGTTCAGCCCCCACGAGACCGACCAAAAAAAAATAAGAGAGAGAGATTTTCCCCCAAAGTGGTGTAACCAGTATTTACTTGTATGCTGCTGAGAAAAGCTGTTAGACTGGGAAGCTGATGATACATGAGGGGCTGGCTAATGTGGCGGAAGAGCTGAGACCTACAAACCTATAGATAAAGGAAGGGGAAAGTCAAGGAAGGGTGCGCGTAGCAGTGGCTTTATAATTTGGCGGTAGGTGTAAGGCACTGTTTATGGGGAAACTGCAAATTTGGCAGTGATAATAAATAATACATCAGGGGCTGGGAAGGTGGCTCAGTGGTAGAGCGCTTGCCTTGCAATGCATGAGGCCCTGGGTTCCATTCCTCAGCACCACATAAGCAAAAAGAAAAAAGCCGGAAGTGGCTCTGTGGCTCAAGTGGTAGAGTGCTATCCTTGAGCTGAAGAGCTGAGGGACAGCGCCCAGGCCCAGAGTTCAGGCCCCACAACCGGACCCAAAAAAAAAAAAATAAAATAAAAATAAATAATACATCAAATACTTTTCCCTATACTTGTGTGAGTAGAATCTAAAATTGTTGGTGTGTTTAAAGAACTAGGCCAGAGCTAAATAGGTAATTTTTAATCTTGAAAGACAGTCAAGACTCTCCACTGTAATTTGAGTTAACTATAAGAGTTGTAGAGTTTGTTTCTTTGGTCAAGACAAAAGAGAAATAATTCATGTCATTTGTTTACCTCTACCATGATGTAAATAAAACCTTATTAGAGGTCAGAAATCTGTTCTGTGTATCTTCACAGATCTCTTTAACTATAAACAGATTACTGTCTAATGGGACTTGCTGGTTTTTGTTGTTGTTGTTTTCTTGCCAGTCCTAGGCCTTGAACTCAGGGCCTAGGTACTGTCCTGAGCTTCTTTTGTTTAAGGCTAGCACTCTATCACTTGAGTCACAGTGCCAATTCTGGCCTTTTCTGTGTATGCGGTACTGAGGAATCAAACCCAGGGCTTCATGCATGTTAGGTAGGCATGCTACCACTAAGTCACATTCCCAGCCTGAGACTTGCTGTTGAACATATGCTCAGTAATCATTAGTGGAAATGAATAAATACTAGATAGTTGAAGAATTATCCCACCAACATAAAAACTTCTAAAATTGCATATATTCAGGTTGGCAGTCTTTTTAGGTCTTCATGCATTTTTATTATATCCCTAAAAAGTAAACCAAACAAAATTTAGCCCTTTTTGAAGATTTTAGAGTAATTATAATTCAGATGTTAAAGTCTACTGATACTCTCAGAGTTCACTAAGATATATAGAACTATTTAGTTTGGTGCTTATGGCTTAACCTAACTGGGCTTTTGGAGTTCTTAGTCTATTTTGCGGAGTTTTGAAGATTAAAAAAAATTATTTTATTTATTTTTGGTGTTGGTCCTGGGACTTGAACTCAGGGCCTGGGTGCTGTTTCTAAGCTTCTTTTTTGCTCAAGACTAGAGTTCTAACACTTGAACTACAGTGTTACTTCCAGCTTTTTCTGAATATTTTCTTGGAGAGAAGAGTCTCATGGACTTTATTCCCCAGGCTGGCTTTGTACCCTGATCCTCAGATCTCAACCCCCTTAGCTAGGATTATAGGCGTGAGCCACCAGCACCTGGTGTTAGTTTTTTGTTTGTTTGTTTTTGTCGGTCTTGGGGCTTGAACTCTGGGCGTGGGCGCTGTCCCTGTCCCTCAGCTCTTCAGCTCCAGGGGAGCTCTACTGCTTGAGCCACAGTGCCACTTCCGGTTTTCTAGTGGTTTATTGGAAATAAGAGTCTCACAGACTTTCCTGCCCGGGCTGGCTTTGAACGATCCTCAGATCTCAGCCTCCTGAGTAGCTAGGATTACAGGCATGAGCCACCAGCGGCCGGCTGGTATTAGTTTTAAATTGTTAGTACATCTAACTTACAGACAGGTTTTTCTCTCTCCTTTTAATTTCTTACTTCTAATCACATTGATCTACTGATGAATTGGTTTGGAAAACTCATCATGTACTATAAAAATAAAATTAAAAATAAATAGACTCTGTAGGGCTCTTTTGGGGATAAGACTTTGCCCTTTGGCTCCATCTTATCCATTCATTTTTTCATTTCTGCTGGGGTCAGCATTGTGATCCTTATCCGTGTGTTCAGGGTCAGCCTTTCTTGGCGGCTCAGAGGCTTTTCTGTGGTAGAGTGGAGGTTAAGTCTTCTTTGGGTCTCTCTTTCTGTCTCTGTCTCTGTCCCTTTCCCCTCTTTCCCTCCTTTATCTCGATCCTCCCTTCCCCCTACCCCATGAACCTAGGACCTTGAATGTACCAGGAAAGTTTTCTATAATTGAGCTACATCTCCAGTCCAATCAATTAGTTTATATCTAGAATTAAAAATTTGTTTTAGGATCAAGTTTAAAAAAAAGAAGTAATGAAGTGTATATTGTTACTTTCCCACTCCTTCAGGAAATACAAATGAAGAGGACTGCCATTGAAGCTTTTAATGAAACAATTAAAATATTTGAGGAGCAATGTCACACACAAGAGCAATATAGCAAAGAATATATTGAGCGGTTTCGCAGAGAAGGAAATGAAAAGGAAATTGAACGGTGAGTCTACTTAATACTTCCAAGTAAATTAGACAAGATTTCTTTTTCCCTAATAATTCCTATCTTGCCTGTTTTTGTTGTTGTTATTGTGTTGTCAGTGGTGGTGGTGGTCTTGGGGATTAAACTCAGGGCCTGGACATTGCCCCCTGAGCGTCTCAGGCTCAAGGCTAGCACTCTACCCCTTGAGCCACAGTGTCATTCCAGCTTTTTCTGAGTAGTTTATTGGAAATAATAGTCTCACAGCCTTTCCTGCCTGGGCTGGCTTTGAGCTGTGATCCTCAGATCTCAGCCTCCTGAGTGGCTGCTGGTACCCAGTTTATCCTGTCTATTTTTTTATCTCCTCTAATTGCATGGTTCTGCTCTGTGGAATCACTTGCTGTTTGTATTAATGGCACTACACAGAATCTCCTCTCATCTGTGTTCTTTTTCTGTCCCAAACTAAGTTGTTCCTAAATTTTGCTCATCATTTAGCACTCAAGTTACACACTAGTTTGTCTTTTCTTTTCCTTCTCTTCCCTCCCTCCCTCTCTCCCTCCCTCCCTTCCTCCCTCTCTCTCTCTCTTTCTTTTTTTGTCAGTCATGGGACTTAAACTCTGGGCCTGGGGGCTGTCCCTCAGCTCTTCAGCTCAAGGCAAGCGCTCTACCACTTGAGCCACATCCGGTTTTCTGGTGGTTTATTGGAGATAAGAATCTCAGGGCCTCTCCTGCCCGGGCTGGCTTTGAACCGCATTCCTCAGATCTTAGCCTCTTGAGTAGCTATAGGTGTGAGCCACCATGCCTGGCTTAGTTTTTCTTTTTTTTCCTTTTTCTTTCTTTTTTTTTGGTCAGTCATGGGGCTTGAACTCCGCCTGGGCACTGTCCCTGAGCTTTTTTGCTCAAGGCGACTGCTTTACCACTTGGGCCACAACGCCACTTCCAGTTTTCTGGTGATAAGTTGGAGTAAGAGTCTCAGGCTGGCTTTGAACCATGATTCTCAGATCTCAGCCTCCTGAGTGACTAGGATTATAGGCATGAGTCACCAGTGCCCAGCTACACATTAGTTTTTCTAAAAAAAGAAAATCTTTCCTGATTCCCCAAAATATTTTAAGGGCCTTTTGACCCTAGAGTGTTTGGTTATAATCCCTGAATGCCCTGTCACTCAACTACAAACTCACTGAGAGCAGGAATGGTGGCTCATTTTCCCTGATACACTTGAGTCACCACTTGATACTTGGGAGTATGTAATGGGTGCTTACTGATTATTCTTTGAACTGAAAAGTATCTTTGGCAGTCATTAATGAAAGATTAGAGTAGACCGAGGCTGGGAATGTGGCTCAGTGGTAGATATTTGCTTGCCTACCATGCATGAAGCCCTGGGTTCGATTCCTCAGTACCACATAAACAGAAAAGGCTGGAAGTGATGTTGTGATTCATGATATAGTGCTAGCCTTGAGCACAGAGAGGCTCAGGGACAGTGCTCAGAGAACCCAGGCCCTAGTTCAAGCTCCAGGACTAGCCAAAAAAAAAAAAAAAGAAAAGAAAACTAAAAAAGAAGGAAGTATTGATTCCTGACCAGATATGGCAGGTGTAAGAGAAGTAAAAAATTTTCCCTTGGGGCTGGGAAGGTGGCTCAGTGGTAGAGCACTTGCCTTGCATGCCTGAGGCCCTGGGTTCGATTCCTCAGCACCATATAAGCAAAAAGAAAAAAGCCAGAAGTGACGCTGTAGCTCAAGTGGTAGAGTGCTAGCCTGAGCTGAAGAACTGAGGGACAGCGCCCAGGCCCAGAGTTCAGGCCCCACGACTGGACCCCCCACACACACAAAAAATTTTTTCCCCTAGATGTCTAGTGTGGTATTTATTTATTCACTGTGCTAGGGATTGCATGAGAAACATCCAAAGATGGAAGCAACAAGTTTGATGCTCCCATGAGAACACAAATGGAACTGTTGGAAGCAGGTGGCAGCAGCATAGTTAGATATTGAACAAAGCATACAGAAAGGATTTGAAAGGAGGCATAAGTACGTCGATAATGATAGATACTAAAACATGTATGGTGTTTAGAGTAGCATGTGTTGGGACATACCTGCAATGCCAGGCCTGTGGTCAAGGCTTGCCTTGAAAGACTGAAAGTTCAAGACCAGCATGGCTGGTCTTGCAAGGCAAGACCCTGTCTCAAAAAAGTCAAAAAGCAGGGAGACCATCAGACACATAGACAAACCTGGAACAAAGAAGCCATATATACATTTGTATATATGTATACAAATATGTATATATATGGCTGGATCCAGGGCCACAACAAGGTCAATAGGATTGTTTCTCACTTTGCTTTTTGGCCCAGCTTTCCCTGGAATAGCCTTATCCTAAAGCTGGCTTTATGTGTGAGGTGACATTGTAGTTTCTAACAATCCCAGAATCTCATATTCATAATTTAGCAACCCCAGTGGAAAGAGAGAATTATTTTTAATAACATTTCTAGCAAAAGTTATAGAATTGGGCCTCATTTTGTCAGTTGGGGTCTTATTCTTATTACTGAGTGGAACCGGTCACTATGTCCTGAGGGTAAGAAGGAAATGAAATAGAATATTCTTATTGGCCACTCTAGGCTATGTATGTATATACCTCTGGATCTGAGATGGAGGCAGAGAATTCTTAACCTACAGGGAACATCTGGGTGCCATTATCAGAATAGAAAAGGAGTAGGCATAAATAACAAATTTCTATCACTGTTTTGATATTAGAACCCAAGGTAGGTACAGTGGTTTGTCCTCATTTCCTCAGGAGGCTGAGTCAGGAAGATTGCTTGAGCCCAGGAGTGCAATGCAACATAGTAAGACCCTATCTCAAAGAAAAAGATACCCCAAATACATTCATACTTTAAGATCCTTCTACCTTTTTGCTATTTTAGCCTTAATATTGTCAAACATTTTCACAGAATTATGATGAATTTTGACAAATTGAAATCACGTCTTGGTGAGATTCATGATAGCAAAATGCGTCTGGAACAGGATTTGAAGAAACAAGCTTTGGACAACCGGGAAATAGATAAAAAAATGAACAGTATCAAACCTGACCTGATCCAGCTGCGCAAGATACGAGATCAGCATCTTGTGTAAGTAGTCTGGGAGTGTGTGGGGATTTGAAACAATGGCATCGGGTTACCACTGGAGCTAGAGACATTGTAGGTAGAATTGATTTGTAACTGAGTGCTGGCCAACAAGCCTGTAAGAACTCAGGAATTATCTCAATTAGTAGTAGGGGGTCCCAAAATGAGGCAAACAAAAATGTAGGCCTCTGTTTCATACAGACAAATGCCTGAAAAATGTTAGAAGGAGGCTGTCAGAAGAGCAAAGTGATACATACAGATTAAAAAGTACAGATTACTGTTTTACTAAAATGCGAAAATTGGAGTATTTGGTTATATAAGAACCACAGAGGGGGCTGGGAAAGTAGCTCAGTGCTTGCCTTGCACGCATGAAGCCCTGGGTTCGATTCCTCAGCACCACATAAGCAGAAAAAAAGGAAATGGTACTGTGGCTCACGTGGTAGAGCGCTAGCCTAGAGCTGAAGAGCTGAGGGACAGCGCCCAGGCCCAGAGTTCAGACCCCACGACCAACAAAAAAAAAGAAAAAAAAAAAAAAAAAGAACCACAGAATGTCGGGCGCTGGTGGCTCACGCCTATAATCCTAGCTATTCAGGAGGCTGAGATCTGAGGATCGTGGTTCAAAGCCAGCCTGGACAGGAAACTCTGAGAGACCCTTTCGCCAATAAAACCACCAGAAAACCAGAAGTGGCACTGTGGCTAAAGTGGTAGAGTGCTTGCCTTGAGCTGAAGAGCTGAGGGACAGCGCCCAGGCCCAGAGTTCAGGCCCCAGGACCAAAAAAAAAAAAAAAAAACCAAGCCGGGCGCTGGTGGCTCACGCCTGTAATCCTAGCTACTCAGGAGGCTGAGATCTGAGGATCGAGGTTCAAAGCTAGCCCGGGCAGGAGAGACTGTGAGACTCCTATCTCCAATAAACTACCAGAAAACCGGAAGTGGCGCTGTAGCTCAAGTGATAGAGCGCTTGCCTTGAACTGAAGAGCTGAGGGACAGCGCCCAGGCCCAGAGTTCAAGCCCCATGACCGACCAAAAAGAAAAACAAAGAACCACAGAAATAGAAATTACCCTCAGAGGCACTAATACAAAAAAAAAAGTCTGTATTTACTTTGTGCAGGCAGTTTGCTTAGATTCTGACATGGTGTCTTCCCTCTTGGCAGGTGGCTTAATCACAAAGGAGTGAGACAGAAGCGCCTCAATACCTGGCTGGGAATAAAAAATGAGGATGTTGATGAGTAAGTTCTCTCTAAACCTTCTGTTAGTGAGCTTTGTTCTGTCTTTACACATGCTCAGAGTTGGTTCTCATTGTCATTCGAAGGTATTGAATCTGGAACTTTGCATCTCTTTATTTGAATTACCTTAAGAAGATAGGTCCTTGAGCTCAGAAACCTGCTCAGCCACATGAATCTGGATATTACTACTCAGATGTCCACATTCTAGATTAGTCAGTGAGACATGTGAATTCTGTGATTTTTGCACCATAGTAAGTCATGAAGTTATTTTTAAAAAAAAAACCAAAACACTGAAATAGTTCTGATTTTATGGTTAAAGAGAATAAGATTTCATTAACTTTTAGCTTTTAGATATACGTAAACTATCAAAATAATATTTTAAATATTTAATTTTTAGGTCCTATTATATCAATGAGGAAGAGGAAAACCTGCCACATTATGATGAGAAAACTTGGTTTGTTGAGGATATCAATCGAGTACAAGCCGAGGACTTGCTCTGTGGGAAGCCTGATGGTTCATTCTTAATTCGTGAGAGCAGCAAGAAAGGATGCTATGCTTGTTCTGTAGTGTAAGTCTTCTCTAGGGACATGGCTTTTTGCTTGTACATGGATTAATAGAAAATCAGCCCCTGATACAATTGGTTATAGTACAGCAATGAGGATCTATGGCTTACTTAGACCATCAATATTTGTATAAGAAAGCAGTTTTAAGATATACTACAGTTGGGCACCAGTGGCTCACACTTGTAATTCTAGCTACTCAGGAGGTTGAGATCTGAGGATCAAGGTTTGAAGCCAGCCCAGGTAGTAAAGTGTGTGAGACTCCTGTGTCCACTATCTCAGAAGTGGAGCTGTGGCTCGAGGGGTAGAATGCTAGCCTTGAACAAAAAGAAAGTAAGAGACAGAACCTAGGCCCTGAGTTCAAGCCCCAGGACCAGCAACCGACACCACACTGCTTCCCTCCTCCCCACTCCCTCTCCCTGTCCCCCAAAAGATATCCTAGGTTTAAATCTTCGCTTTACTGCTTGTCAACTATGAAAATGACTTAAAACATTCTTTATTCAGTTTCTCACCTAAAAAATAAGAGTAATAATATCTACTTTTTTTGTGAGGTATTACCTACTAATATTATGATAATAATGCTACTGACAGACATGGCAGAAGGCAAACAAAGATGACAGTGATTATGCCCTTGAAGAGGGCAAGGTAGAGAGTGTAGATGTAAGGCATTTATATGCAGAATACTCAGCGCCTTACACAATCACCTTGCCTTCAGCAGTCTATTTGTCTTGGAGTCAGAGGTTGAATCTAAGTTTATTAAGTTTCAAAGCCCACATTTTAAAAATTGCACCAGGCTTTCTTCATTTCCTAAAACATTTAAGATGAACAGAATCACTGTGAAATAGGTGCTGTTAGTGGGTTGTTCGTCTGCAGAACTGCTTATTTTGATGGGGGAAAAGAGGGTTAGGAGGTTTTGTGCAAGAGGCATTAGCACTAGACCTTTAAAGGATGAATGGAGTCTGGGGGAAAAGTTAGAAAATGAATCATATTGCCATCATCTAAAGATAGAACTAACAGCAAGATTTCATTTCTCTCTGACCTGGTCAAGTTGTCTGAGAGGAAATCATAAGAAAATAGTTATTGTAAGACTTAGAATCTAGGAAGGAAGAGAGGGAGGGAGGGAGGGAGGGCTTGACTAGACTCAAGTCTATAGCAATGCCTATGAAAACACCCACTAACTGTAGTCACACTTCATTAGAATGAGGATGGTTGGAGACAAAAGAGGGGCTGGCATCACAAATATTTCCTGTTTGCTAGCTACTCTGTCCATACAAAACCTGTCTATAGTGATCTCACATTATACTTTGAACATTTGCTGAAGTGAGAGTCTGAATAAGTTGTTTTTAAGAAGAATCTTGGAGTTAATCACTGTGGTTCACACCTATAATCCTAGATATTCAGAAGGTTGAGATGAGGAGGCTTGTGGTTCCAGGCCAGCCCAGGCAAAAAAATATTCATGAAACTTCCCCATCTCAGCCAATAAAGAGCTGGGTGCAGTGGGTCATGCCTATCATCCCAGCACCAAGGGAAAATAAGTAGGATTGTGGTCCAGGCAGGGTAGGCAAAAAATGAGACTCTGATGGAAAAGTAACAAGCAAAAAAACAACATGGGCTTATGGCTCAAGTGACAGAGCACGCACTCACTTCCCAAGCCAGCACAGACGCCAGCACTGAGCACAGACGCCAGCACTGAGCCCCAACTCCAGTAATGCACAAAAAAGAAAACATGCAGAAGAAACCTGGAGTAGGAAAGCATCTCTGCTACCTAATAAAAGGTACCAGTGAAAAACCCACAGCTAGTATTATGGGTAGTAATGGAAGACTGATTGCCTTTCCCTTGATCAGAAAGAGGAACAAGGTGTGTGCTCCAAATAACCACTGCCCTTCATCATTATGAAGGATGTCTAACCGGAGAAATTAGGCAAGAAAAAGAAAAAAAAGCTATCAAGATTGGAAAGTAAGAAGTAAAAAAATGGGTTCAAGGTTGCAAGTAACATGACACAAAGCTATATTTATTTTTTCTTTTTTCTTTGGCTGGTCATGGGGCCTGAACTCTGGACCTGGGCGCTGTCCCTGAGCTCTTCAACTCAAGATGAACACTATACCACTAGCGCCACATCGCCATTTCTGGCCTTTTCTTCTTACGTGGTACTAAGGAATTGAACCCAGGGCCTCATGCATGCGAGGCAAGTGCTCTACCACTGAGCCACCTTCCCAGCTCATAAAGATATATTTCTATATACTAGCAATGACTAATCCAAAAATAAAGGCCATCAAAATGATGAAATTCCTAGGAATAAAGTATGAGTTGTCCAGTAGAGCCTTTAAAATACCTTTAAAGATTTTACTAAAAGGCGGGTGCCAGTGGCTCATGTCTGTAATCCTAGCTACTCAGGAGGCTGAGATCTGAGGATTGAGGTTCAAAGCCAGCCCAAGCAGGAAAGTCCGTGAAACTCTTATTTCCAATAATAAAACCACTAGAAAACCAGAAGTGGCACTGTGGCTTAAGTGGTAGAGTGCTCGCCTTGAGCTGTAGAGCTGAGGGACAATGTTCAGGCCCAGAGTTCAGGCCCCATGACCGACCAAAAACAAAAAAAAAAAAGATTTTACTAAAAAAGGTAGATCACTTTTTCTAAAGTGATCTACACATTCAGCATAATCCTATCAGTATCTCAGATGAATTTGCAGAAATTGACCAGATGCTCCTATGATTGATATGAAAATGGAAGTGATCCAGAATAGCCAAAACAGTCTTGAAAAAAATAGAAACAAATTTTGATTCAAAAATTTACTTAAGCTATAGTAATCAAGAATTTGAGGAGGTAACAACGAAAGGATAAACACACACACACACACACACACACACACACACACACACACGTGTGTTACAAGGAAACTCAGTGGAGACAAACAGAGAAGCCATCATGTAAGAGGCCCAAGTATGAGTCTTTCTTGGAGAGTGGGAGGACTGCTGGTAGACTATGTCTCAATGACCAGCAGCCCTTTGTGGCTAGCACAAAGCTTATATAGGCCAAAACCACACAAGGTGAGTGGAATCAAATCCAACAAAAGGTTTATACATAAGCAAAGAAAACCAGATGAGGCCACTTAAACCTAATAGAAAAGCAAACCATCTAGGGAAACAGAGGAAATCAAGAGCCAATTATCTAGGCAAAGCATAGACTCAGTCTCCTTATTTCATTCCCCCATTGGTTTTCTGAACACATGAAATTGAATCATTAATTTTGGGGGCCTAGGCTGCATTTTGGGGCCTTAGAATTCCATTCATATAAATGTATGAATGAAATGGAATGAATGAATGGAGAATTAAGAAATAAGGTCTAAGCCGGGCACTGGTGGCTCACGCCTGTAATCCTAGCTGCTCAGGAGGCTGAGATCTGAGGATCGAGGTTCAAAGCCAGCCAGGGCAGGAGAGACCGTGAGACTCCTATCTCCAATAAACCACCAGAGGGCTGGGAAGGTGGCTCAGTGGTAGAGCGCTTGCCTTGCATGCTTGAGGCCCTGGGTTCGATTCCTCAGCACCACATAAGCAAAAAGAAAAAAGCCGGAAGTGGCACTGTAGCTCAAGTGGTAGAGCGCTAGCCTTGAGCTGAAGAGCTGAGGGACAGTGCCCCAGGCCCAGAGTTCAAGCCCCACGACCGACCAAAAAAAAAAAAAGAAATAAGGTCTACATTCGGGCTAGGAAGGTAGCACAGTGGTAGAGTGCTTGCTTCCCATGCTTGAGGCCCTCGGTTCATTTCCTTAGCACCACATAAACAGAAAAGGCCAGAAATGGTGCTGTGGCTCAAGTGGTAGAGCCCTAGCCTTGAGCTGAAGAGCTGAGGGACAGTGCCCAGGCCCAGAGTTCAAGCCCAATGACTGGCAAAAAAAAAGGGTCAACATTCATGATTGTTTTCATGTATTTGTATCTGTGGCCCAATCTCTAAGGTGATTGAAAGCAACACAGTTTCACAAGCTTTGTCTGACTAATGCCTTTTTTTTGTCCTTGGGCTTGAACTCAGGGCCTGGGTGCTGCCCCTGAGTTTTTTTGCTCAAGGCTAGTGTTCTACCACTTTGAGCCACAGCTCCACTTCTGGTTTTGGGGTGGTTAACTGGAGAGAAGAGTCTCATGGACTTTCACATCTGGACTGGCTTTGAACCGTGATCCTCAGATCGCAGCCTCCTGAGTAGCTAGAATTATAGGTTTGGGCCACCAGTGCCTGGGTAGACTAGTGACCATTTAATAGCTATTATAGCTGCCTTAGCATTTTTCCTGTTGTGTATCTTTGCAGTGCTGATGGGGAGGTGAAGCACTGTGTGATCTACAGTACGGCACGAGGATATGGCTTCGCAGAGCCCTACAACCTGTACAGCTCCCTGAAGGAGCTGGTGCTCCACTACCAGCAGACATCCCTGGTCCAGCACAACGACTCCCTCAATGTCAGGCTTGCCTACCCTGTCCATGCACAGATGCCTTCGCTCTGCAGATAAAGAGGGAGTGGGAAGAGTTGGCTCTCCAGCATTTTTTCTACCGTTTTTATTAGACTATGATGAGGGCATTCTTTCTACGTAGACTGCTTGTTTTGCACAAGAAGTGATTCTGTGAATGTGAAGTGGAGAGGCCGACCAGTAGCCGGCCGGGATGGGGGAATAAATAAAGGGGCCTGGGGTTTCTGGGACTCAGCTGTACTGCTGCACTGAAAAAGTAAGCAGATGTTGTTTTTGGAAAGTTTGTTTTGTTGGGGTTTTTGTTTTTGTTTACCAGGCACCCTCAGCAGAACACACTAGGCTCCATGGAGGCAGGGGGTGGGAGTTACATTTGGAAGCCTCTGAAGAGTCCATATTCTCTTTTGGTCTTCAGCTCTGAGAATGTAACAGGGGCTTGGCTCTGTTGGGAATTGTTTTGCTCCTATAATCTCTTCATTCCAAAAGTAAACACTTTTTTTTTTCTTCTGTGGTAGAATGGGATTTGTTTTTTTTTTTTTTGGGGGGGGGGACAAAAAAAAAGACAACCAAAGGAAAATAAGGAGGCTTGGGGTTTCATGAAAGAATCTAAGGCAAGAGGGTACAAAAAAACCCTTCAGTGGGTGGTTTTACTTACCAACATAATTTAGGCTTCAGCGTACTCTCTTCAGCATCGTTTTAACCAGTAAAATGATGTTTGTTTCACAACGAGGGAGAAGGTGACATGAGCAGCTGAATGCACATTTTTGTACCCAAACTTGAAAATAAGAAAACTACATGTGAGTTTTTTGCAAACAAATTGGTCGATGTATTTCCTTTTGCCCTGCCTGTTTCTCAGACATGAGGAATAGCATTGTTTTTGTGGGGATAGTGAGATTTGAATCATACAATGAAGTTGGTGCTTTTGTGGTGTTTCCTTAGCCTAAAGAATGATGTTTGAAACTTTTGTAACTTGTTTGTATGAGAAAAGAAAAGGTGCAATCCAGTGCTTTTAGATGGCTTGATATACCAAATAATGATAGAACAACATTGTTATATGTGCTTCCCCAAGTTTAAAGGGCCCTACAAAAACATGATATATGGTTTGCTTTTCCTTCATCTCCCCACCCCCCTTTTTTTTTTTGCTGGATAGTGTTAAGGGAGTCCTTAAGTGGCTAAGGAGGGAATCAGATTGTGGCCAGAGGCCTAAGAAATCAGACTCAGGGCCCCTGGTGTCCAGGGTGAGGGTCATACCACATTATAACATGCTTCCATACAGTGGTTTCTGAAGCTTTTGCAGGGAGAAAACATGGCTTGGAGTTCAGACTGTTGATAGAAATCATCTGGAAGCTTTTCTCTGCCTTTTTTTTTTTTTTTTTGAGCCTGCCATTAAAGCAATGTGCAGCCTGCCCTCATGCTTCAGTGGCTGTGATTTTATGCCAGGAATCTTCTGCCCCATGTAGTTTAAACCTTCTAGCTGAGGCAAATGAAGTGGAGGGAAGGCCATCTACTCCTGCCTTCATTATGCTCCACAGTCATCAGTCAACACTCATTTGACAAATAGTCCAGCTTGCCTCCAAGCCAATCCTGGAACTATAATAGGCTGAGTGTGACTCAGCTGTTTGAGCCCAGAGATGTGCAGTCAGGCATCCTAGCTGAGCTAGAGGAGCAGCCAGTATCTGGGTCTTGGTTCATAAAGTTTATAGCTAGGAAAACTAGTTTGGGGGATAAAAGAAAAACAGTACTTTCCCTGAATGCTTACTTCAGTGAAAGTGTCTAGAATGGACCATGATGTAGACATGGACATAGATTAAATAAAAAAACAAACAAAATTTCCCAAGTTACTTCCTATCCAGGATAGGAAGAAAAAGTGTCTTTGGCTTTTGTTTACACTGAAGTTTAATTGGGTGAGAAGAGACAAATGAGCTCCTCCCCTGCTGTGTTGGTGATTTAAGCCCTGAATGATAGCCAGAACATGCTTTCCCCAAGCTGCTAGATTGAAGCCTTGCTCAGCGTTTCACTGAGTTGTCAGGCTGATTGCTGCTGGGTACAGAGGTAGCTTTGCATCCCTTCTATCTGGTACTAAAATTTTTTATTGAATCCTGAGTCTTTTTTTAAAATTAAGCCAGGATGGAATATGATATACACCTGTAGTGTTGAACAAGTGTCAGACAAGGAGGGTGTAGAGGGAGCGAACAAGTACCATTTAACCTATACGTGGGCTAGCTTGTGGAGAAGGGCTGGTTTTCAGTTTTATATTTATTTTCTTTCCTTTTGCCTTGTGGGCTCTAAGATTAGAGATCATTTGATAGAGAGTGTTTTCTGATCAGTTTCCACATAATTTACTTGTTCCTGAATCAGTGCCCAGACATGTACACTGTCCATGCACCAGTCAACTAACCACTGCATTTGGAGTGTGTGGAGGGATGGTATACTGCTCTCCTGTTAGGTCCAAGCCTCCTTCATGAGTCTAGTTGTGTCCTATCCCATAATTTGGGTTCTGGGACTATCTCCTGACATCTTAATTGTGCCTCACAGAAGCAGAGGGTCAAGAGATAATTCCAACTAGAGGAACTGATTCTCTTGGCTAGATGAGTCTGCCACAAACATGAAAGCAGCTTGGAAGACACACAAAGCCTAGGCCCATCTTTTCCAAGTGGAGCACTCATCATAAAACAATGCCATTTGCCCCTAGCTGTAGATGTCAAACCTTGGCCTTGGCTAGGTATCCTGTGTCCTCCTTATCTGGGCCAAGGCTATAAAACAGGGAATCCTAATACCTCTTCAAGACTTGGTGGGACCCCTCATTTACTTTAGACCTTGTTTTTGGAAGCTTTTGAGAACCAATGTGGTGTCTTCCTTGGGTCTCTTCTTGCTCCATGTATTCTCTTGAGCCAAGAAATGCATCTGGGCAACTCCTGGTTACTAGGATGATCTCTGCTGACAGCTAAGACCCAGAGTGGGTCTCTGTGAGGTTTCAATAGTCCTAGAAACCAGAGTCTATATGAGGACCTGTTTGGGTCCTCTGCTGCCAACTGCTCAGCCTTGCTAAAGTTAGCTCCAGCCACTTGTTACAACCAACATTGTTTCCTTACAAATTCCAGCATGTGACTTTGGTGCCCTGTTGTTACTTGTGAAAAACCTATTCTGTTGTCTTTGATGTAGTCAAAAAAAAATTCTGTAGTTTATGTAAAAATCTGATTCACAAGGAAGTCACCTGTACGTCTTGTGTTGGGACAATTCATAATGTAGTTCCTAGACCAATTTTGCAAATTGTTATTGTCACCAGACGTGTTCAGACATTGCTGTGCAGTTGTGGGGAAGGGTGGAGGGAAGGTAAGGGAGATACTTTTCTGTTTTTACCTTCCCCAAGAGGGGATAGTCTGGCCAACTTGCTCCAGTAATGCAATAAAAACATTGCAATAAAACCTTTGTTTTCATGGTATGGAGGGCTGGGCTTTGGACAGGGTAAGGAGGAAGCAAGGTAAGAAGACTGGGCATTGATTTCTTAGACCTCTCCAGTGAACACCAAGAGACCAGTCAGTCACTTAGGACTGAACTGGAGCCACACTGGAAGCCCTCCTCCTCCCATGAAGGGGAGATAAAATCTAGTGGACATGATGTGAATCCTATCCACCCCCAGGAGAAACTCAGGTATTGAGAAAACTAAATCTGACAGCCACTTTGTCACCTCCTAATAAAGTTTATTGGTTCTCATGACATTATTTCTGCCTGGAAATAAAAGTGTATCCATTTTCTATCCTGGAGGCAGGAAATGGGCTTGCAGTCTTTCCTGCTGTCACATTTCTTCAAGGCACATTGTTGAAGTTGCTATGTGTTGACAACATAAACAGCAAACATGACAACCACCTTAGCAGAACATTGTACCTCTTGTATCTCAGACTTTGCCCACTTAGACTCAATTACAAAAATCTCATTGGGCAAGGAAATGGCCTATTAGTCTAAATAATGTTGCTTCTTTTCCTCCACTATACATTAGCTACTCAAGCACCCGCAAAACTGTAGATGATGTCACTTAACCCCAAGATACTCTTACTTCTGTGCTTGGGATACTCAGAATTCTTTTCTCCTGTCGTGTGTTTTTGAATGCCACTGGATGGCTTGACATCTCCACGGACGTATCTGTTGCCCACAGGCACTGCATACTTCATTTCAGAGTAAATACATAGTGGACTGTCAACTTCCAACCATGGTTATAGTTGACCCTAAAACTTGCCAATATCCTCATAACTCCTCTTCTTCTGGCTAAAGCCAGTTCTTCTAAATGTATTTTGGATTCTTTGCTCTTCAGTTTCTCAGCATCTCAATTATGATTTTTTTCTCATTTCATATCAACTGGATCATGACCATTGGCATTTAAACATGGTTGCTATCTTGTATTTTCTTATTAATTACTGTAGTTTGAACTCGGAGCCTCACAATTGCTCAGCTAGCACCGTATCTTTTTTTTTTTTTTTTTAATGGTCTTATGCTATAGCTCAGGCTGGCCTTGAACTCAAGTCTTCTAACTGCTGGCATTTTAGATCAATGTGCCTTATCATCCTGGCTGGCTGTCCTCACTGTACCTCCCCAATTTCTACTTATTCCCATACACTTCCTCCACTCTTGTCCCCTCTTCACAACTAAGCCTTTTGAAACAGTGGTCTACATATTTCCTGACCCGAAGCATTTTATTTAGTACAAATTCCATCATTACCTTGAACCACTTGCTTCAGTAATCAGCTGTTGACCATACTCTCCATGGACTGTTCCATTATAACTCATTCACCTAATTTTCTACCATCTCTGTTCTGTTGATGTCTTGTGGACTTATCCAGGAGCCTTATCACTTAGACATTTTTACCTGACAGTTTTATCCTTATCTTTGAATCCACCTATCATTTCTAGGCCAATCACCTATTTATATTACTTTTTTTTTGCCTAAATGTTTATTGTAAAATATCTCATATTCAGCACATTGAATCTATCTCTGAATGCAGGGCCACTTATCTGGCCCTGGTTCATCTCTATTGTTTTATATTTTTCTGAATGGAAATAGAATTCACTAGTTATGTAAGTCAGAAATGTAGTCATCATCCTTAATACTTAAACCATTCACTAACCCCTATTAATTTTACTTTCCAAATATCAATTAAAATACCATTTCCCTAATTTTGCAGCTTTAGGACCACGTCTAATTCTGCCCTCCCCCAAATCTATTCTCATTATAGCAACCAGTTACCTTTTCAAGATACAAACCCAGACCTGTGTTAAACATTAACTTTCAATTGCTCCCAGGGTAAGTCAATTTTTCCTTTCTTTTTAAAGAGACAGGGTTTTAGCTGAGTGCTAGTGGCTCACACTTGTAATCCTACCTACTAAGAAGGCTGAGAACTGAGTACCAGTGGCTCATGCCTGTAATCCTAGCTACTCAAGAGGATGAGATGTGAGGATCGAGGTTCAGGCAGGAAAGTCCATGAGACTCAGCTCCAATAAACCACCAGAAAATTGGAAGTGGCGCTGTGGCTCAAGTGGTAGGGCACTAGCCTTGAGCTGAAGAGCTGAGGGACAGCACCCAAGCCCAGAGTTCAAGCCCCACCACCACCAAAAAAAAAAAAAAAAAGGCTGAGATGATGGTTCAAAATCAGTCTAGGCAGAAAGTTCATGGGACTCTTGTTTCCAATTAACAAGCAAAAAGCCAGATGTAGAGTTGTGGTTCAAGTGGTAGAGTGAAAGCCTTGGGAGGAAAAAGCTCCGGGGCATGCTGCACCTAGGACCTGAGTTGAAGCCCCAGACCAGCACACTCCCCCAGACCAGCACACTCCCCCAGACCAGCACACTCCCCCAGACCAGCACACTCCCCCAGACCAGCACACTCCCCCCCATCCCAAAAAGGACTTACTTAGGCTGTGTTGCCTAGGCTGACCCTGAACACCTGGGCTCAAGTGAGCCTCTTGATCTCCTAAGTAGCTGGGACTACAGGTGTGCATCATAGTAACTGGCTAAGGTACAAAATTCTTAAAATGGTCTGTCCTCTTCCTGAGGGTCTCATTTCCCCTCTTTTTATTGGCTCTGTCCATTAATTCCAGTGTCTTTGGCCTTTTTCCTCATTCTCATTCTTGGCAGTCCTTATATTGCTTTAATTCCAATCCCAATCTATTTCCTGATGGCTCCCAACTCTGTATTCAGCTTCCTTTCCCTCATTCTCTCCACTCTTGACTGGTTCCTGCATTATTCTCTCTGGCCTGTGGCCCCACTCTAGCCTTTCCACATCATCCACAGTGATCCTTCTAAAATATAAGCCTGATATCACTTCCCTAAAGTTGCCTTTCAGAAACTCAATACAGCAGTGTTCCCCAAAAGGAGCAGTTGTGGTACTTGGGGAAGGTGCCCTGTGCATCTGCATTACAGGATGCTTGGCATCTCTGTGCTCCTTCCCATTCTTACTTTACAAACTCATAGTGCTTGCAGATCCTCTTTACCATGGTATTTCTTTTGACTAGATCCTGATATTACACATAGGACACTCAAACCATTAGTCAACCTTCCTCCCCTCTGTACTCCCTCCCCCTCCCCCCACCAAGATCCTCAAGGAAACGACTAGTCTTTAAAGCATCCAGTGCCTGAAGCCAAAGTCGGCTGTTAATGAATAACTGAAGGAAGGAGGAAGTGAAATAAAGAGTACTGGAAGACTGCAGGATCAACTGTTCCCACAGACCGGCTCTGCTACCATGGGCAACACACGCCCTCTGGTGGCCACTGCATTCTCAGTCCAAGATGACAAAGGTTCAAGAACCACTCTACCGGTGGTTCATAGGTACTTACATCCCATTCTCCAGATATAGCATCTCTTCTAACCTAGAAGTCGGGTTATGGGAAAATTAGTGTTACAAGCAATGCAACAGTTGTTTTTTTTTTTTAAAGTCTAACCTATAGAGGCATGACTGTGCATATGATCTAGACTACTGTTCCACCCATTGAGAGACATATGAACAATGTCGGTCTCCAGCGAAAGGGTCTACTTGACATTAGCCCAGAATCAATGACTACAAACACTAAGGAGATAATTAGTAATTTTGTGTTTTCATCTCACCTGATCTTCCAACCTTTTATCAAGTAACTATTTCTTTCATTTGAAGCTCTTTCTCTCTCTGAATTTGATTTTCTTCTTGCTGCAGCTGCTTTTATTTTTGGGGGGGGGGAGGTAATGTGGGTGATTGACCCAAGCATCTTGTGTATGCCAGGCAATCGTTCTACCACTGAGCTGTGCTCCCGGCTTTGGCAATTGTTTGAGTGTCCTGAGTGTGTTGATACATGGATGGCTCTCCTATCTAGTCTAGATTTCCAGACCCATGTATCCAATTACCTGCTGGATGTTCCACAAACAGCTCCAATTAGATGTGTCCAAAGTTAGTCTCCTCACTCCCTTATATCTTTCATCCTCATTTACTGGCTAAGAGGCAGTCCAAGTTAGGAGATGAATGTTAGTTCTAAAGGTAAGAGACCTAAGTTGTTTGTTTGTTTCTGGCCAGTCCTGGGGCTTGAATTCAGGGTCTGGGTACTGCCCTTAGGCTTCTTTTGTTCAAGGATAGCAATCTACCACTTGAGCCACAGTGCCACTTCTGGCCTTTTCTGTTTATGTGGTGCTGAGAATCCAACCCAGGGCTTCATGCATGCGAGGCAAGCACTCTGCCACTAAGCCACATTCTCAGCCAGAGACCTAGGTTCTAATGCCAGGTTGTTACCCCAGGGAGAAAAGCTCAGTGTTCCTTATTTATAAGGAAGGAATATTAGTCACTCAATGTTTTTTGTTTCTTCATATATCTATGAAGTCTAAACTCCTGAAGGACCATTAGATAATGACATTTGTTTTAACTTGCCAGACCCATTACCACTCTGATTTTTAGTTTCTTGAACATACCAGGTACACTGTATATGCTGTGTTTTTGTAGAACATTCTTTTTCCTTAAGGCGCTAACCTCCATTCTTCCCTACCCAGCAAATTGCTACCTGTGTCTATTCTTCATACTTGAGCTCATATATCTCATGGGTGATTAGGGAAGTCGAATTAGATGTCTCTTCCCTGAGGGTGGCACCTGTCTTGGTCACCACTATATTCCTGCCCAGTGGCAACATAGGATCTGGATCTAGAGTTTGTGATGACTGAAGAAAGAAACAAGCAAAGACAAAAGATGGTTTCCAGGAGGGTATATTACACAGGTCTGAGTGCAAGAAATGGTAAACTGCTATGTTTGCTTTAAAAACTCATCTGATGCCAGTGCCAAGTCCTGATGCTTTTGACGGACCCCTGGGTCTTGGCCCCTCCAAAGCAGGCTGGGCCCAGTTTCTTGGGTGAGGGGGAAGGCTTTGCATGGAACATCTTGCCTCCTGTCACCTGAGGCATCAGGCACTTTGGTAATGCTCAGCAATTTCTCTTCTTGTGCACATTCAGACTCCCATAGCCAGCTTGGGCTGGGGACATCACAAGATGGATGATGGGTCAGCCCGGGTGCACTGAGTGGCTGTGGCTGTTTCTCTGGCCCAGAAGATAGGTTCTTAGGGTGGACTGTGGCTTCCAGATCCTGGGGGTTGGCTTGTCCACTTGTCACTGCTGTCTTTCTACTTGGGGATGCACTGTCTGGCCCCTCAATAAGGAATTTCCAGGACCAGGTGCCTTGCTTCCCAGAGGTGGAGAAAGCAGTGGGGGCAAGTCCTGAAGGGCTGGGACAAAGTGCTGTTAGTGCCTGGGTGTGGAGGTGCTGGGCCTTCCAGCAGCCTTCAGCAGGGGCAGAGCTGGTAGGTCCAGACCCACTCAGAGTGGAGTCTGGTAAGCACAAGCTGGTACCCTCCTCAAAGGCTTGTGAGTTTCCAGGCCTCCTCTGAGGGACATCAGGACCTTCTGTTTTGGGAGGCGCCAGTATGACCCCTGTCAACAGGGCTGGGACCATTGGACCCTGGTTCCTCAGGTCCTGGGCCAAGAAGGTGTCCTCTTCTCCATGCTCTCCTGCTGCTCCGGGGGATGGATTCTGGCCCATTTCTGCACAGGATGCCAATCCTGGCTCCTGTCCACCTCGGCTGTTCTCAGGCTCCTCATCAGTATCATCCTCTGACGAGTCTACCTCACGAATAGCTTCTTGCTTTTGCAGTGACTCTCGTCGCTCAGCTCGGTCTTGCCGAAGGGTGCCTAGGGCTCGTGGAGGCGCAGGCTGCAGCACTCCCTTGCCTGGCAGTGCTTTTCCAGACAGCACACCCCTGGTCCCAGCTATGTCCAGAGGACTGGCCTCCCTGGGTGGCAACTCCTTCTTTAGCTCACAGTGGGGCAGGTCAAGACTATGCTTTCGAGAAGGTGCTAACTTTTTCTCAGAAGCAGCCAGTGCAGCTGCCAGTTTCTCAGCAGACTGAACCCTCTTAAGTAGTGGGGAGCGGGGTGGTTCTGCACTCTTGGGCCGAGAGAGTTGCCTGCCTAGAGGAGGAGACAAATGAAGTTTTGTGGGAAAGGCCTGGGCTCCATGACCAGACAGGGGTGATGGAGAACGCTGAGGCGAAGCTGCTTGTGGTGGTGGAGAAGGGGTGTGGGCCAGTGGTGACAGAGGGATGCTGCCTGCTGACTTGCGCCGTGGAGAGCGGTACTGGCGTTGGAGCTTGGGTGCCAGACCATGGAGGGAGCTGGGCCGTGTGTGCCCAGAGCCAGCTGGGGAGCCAGGGACGCTGGAGCTGGGGGAGCTGCTCTGTGATGAATTTCCTCCCACTTTTGGCAGACAGACACAGACAAACAGACAAAGGCAGAGCCGTGTTAGCTGTTAGAAATGACTGAGGGGGCAAAACAGGGCTTAGTCCGGGAATGTCCCAGGACTGTCTGTGTTACCCCGCCACTGGGCCAGAGGCCAGGTTATAGAAACAATAAAGTAAACCACTCTTCCCATCAGTCCCTTCCAGGATTACTGATCTTTCTGGAGAGTTGGAAAGTGGGACCTGAAGAAAGCCCAGGCACTTTTCTACTTCCCAGAAAATGGTCTCAGATCTACAAGGGGCCCATCATACCTGAGTGCACGGCATCAGGGGTTACCCGGTATCCCTGAGTGGGAGATCGAGGAGAAAGACTGTGGCCATGCGTGGGAGAGCCCGGCCCACTCTCCCCGGATGACAAGGAGCGGTTAAGGGAAGAAAGGCTGCGGCTGGTGTGCAGCAGAGAGGCTTGCTTGGTGATCTTCCGGAATAGGGAGCTTCTTTTCCTGATGCAGAGGTTAAGGTTTAAGGTGGAGTTGGGGCACAGCACACAGCACACTCTAGGTACAGGACTCACACAAAGCACTTACAAGCACCCAGTTACTCAGAGAAGACCTTCGTACCAAACCCAGCTCACCTTTCTTGTCCCTCTTTGCCTCGGCTCCGCTTGCTCCTTCGGGCCATCTTGGCCTTGTAGCTGCCTTTCCGAGCTGGCCCCACTTTAATGGATGTGTTCTCCAGGGGAGTTGTTGAAATAGACACCTTGTTTCCACTCTGGAGTACAGCAAAGCAGAGTATGAGGCTAGGCTGAGGTGATGGCTATATTTTTGCCCTGCCCCTACCCTCTGGTATGGAGGCACCATAGCCAGATTTTGCCTGTGCACCAACATGTCTGATTAAGATCTGTATTCTCTCTCAAAGGCTCGGAAATGGTTCCCATTAATGGCTCAGAATGTTTAGTGGTGGGAAGACGTTCTCCAGTCCTATCTGTAGCTCAGAAGGGCCTGGCAGAAGAGGTGCTGTCTTTTGAAGAAAATCTTCTGCTGTGCCATGCCCAAGTTTTGCATATCCCTGCACCTGCCTTCAGTGCTAAGATATAGGCCTGATCCTCCCACACCCCACAGCAGGCAATGTTCCAGCACTAACCTTAAGGATCAGCTCCACTACCTCTGTATGTACCAGCCCATGTACAGGCTCCCCATTGACATGGGTGATGAGGTCACCCTGACGAAGCCCCGCCTCGCTGGCTGGACCGCCATCTTCCACATGCTGTCCCAGAAAGAGAACATTTAATCTGGAGCTTAACAAAGAAGGTAGGGGCTGGTTCTGCCCATTAAATTGAGAGCTTCTTCACCACCGCCCTTGGCCCCTTAAGAAGTCTGGTCAGTTGGGCTACAGGAAGGGAAAGGTGAAAGAGTGACAAAGCTAGGACACACAGCTCTGTCTGGCCAAACATACCCACACCATGTGGTGCACAGTGTAGACATCTGAGTCACCCATGTAGACACGAATGGCTCTCAGGGTAAAGCCATACTTCTTGCCAGCTCGGTGGATGATGATGGGAGGCCTCAAACTGCCAAGGACCGGCAAGAAGTCCCTGCTTGGAGAAGAGTCTCTAGATGATGGATTTGATGACTGGGAGTGTGGGGACATGGGGCTGGCCAATGGAGAACAGGTGTGGTGTTCTGGAGGAGGAGAAACCAGGACTTAGTAGATCACAAACCTTGGCCTGGCAATGCTCCCAGCCTATTAATCTCAGCACAACTGTCGTCACACACAGAGCCAGAGCCAAGATATATCTTCCTCACAGCCCCTGACTGCCACATCCTCATCTGCTTAGAACTTCCCAAGCCTCAGATGGGGGTACAGGTGATAGGGAATGGTATGTATGTATATGGTATATATGTATGTATGGGCACCATATAAACTCTTCATATACATTCAAACATCACAACTATGCAATTAGTTAAACTATTAATAGCCTTGAGTGATAGAGATTAGATATTAGCATTTTGCCTCAAAGCCTGCGCTTGTTATACCATACTACCTTCTGGTTTGTTTTCCTCTCCCCTCCCCTACCTCCCACTCCAGACAACACAATACATCTTCAGAGACTCCACTTGCATAACCAAGGGACCCAGGTCTCTCACACACCTGCTCTTCAACAGGTATCTGTTGGGGATTCTACATATAGACCCTTGGGCCTGCCCCACAGATTCCCAATATCCTTCCTATGAGTTTTATCCTAGCTCCTATGGCCTTACCTGCAGGAATGAGGAGGGAAAGGGCTGTTGCTGAGGCAGACTTGATCACTTTGTTGACAGGGCGAGTGGTACGCTTCTCTATAGAGTCCCCAGAAAGTAGCCGGTGGCGGGCCCTACGCACAGCTAGGTCACTGATGGCTTTGGCTGTGGTCCCCTCAGCCAGTGGGCTCCCATGACTTCGAATCTCCACAGCTGTGGGCCCAAGTAAACAGTGAGACCTGCAATGTAACTGGGCCTTCCTTTCTGAAATAACTTCCAGCCCAGACTGTTGGCCACCCATTGGTTCATACCTGGACTGGAACCTCTGCTCTGGCCAACAGGCTCCTCATCCAACTTCAGCCGCCGTTCCACTGGCCGTTCAGGGACAGGCCCAGATGCCCCCTCTCCAGATGGGGGTGTCAAAAGCCATATACCCTCCTGCTGTTGCCTCCTAGGGGTGCTACTGGCTTCCTCTGGGCCCTCAGGGAAGCGAGGCACATCTAAGAGGCCTGAGCAACGGTGTCGCACTGTCATTGGAGGGCTTGAGTCACTCTCTGTGTGGGATGATTCAGACATCGATAGCCGCTTTCGCAATCTGTGAGACACAAGGCCAGCGGTGGGGTGGTAAGAGAGCCAAAAGCTCCTTAGAGGCACAGAGGAACTGTCCTCCTCAGACACTCCTTCAGGGCTGCCCTTAAGAATGCCACGTCAGTGCCACCTCCCCAGCATCTCCATTTCTTTCGTATCTGTAACAACCAAGGGATGGCTATGCTGCCCACTCCGGTGAGCCCTGCATGCTCACATCTCAGGGGAGCCAATCACCCAGCTCCGGTCTCGGCCCTTCAGCCCTGCCAGGCCATCGGAGCGATCCTCCTTCTCTTCACTTAGGCTGCGCTTGGTTGGGGGTGGTGTTCGACGTTCCTCAAGCAGCGAGAGCCGCTCCATGCTACTGTATACCTGTGGGCAAGGGGAAGCTTGGGAGAACTAGGACAGACCTGCCTCTCAGGGGACAGAAGGCATCCTTGAGACCGGAAACCAAGAATTTGGATAAGTCCTTTCCTTTCATTGCTAGCAGCACCCCCAGGAATCAATAGCAGGAGGTTAAACCGTTCCTGACACACCCATCTAGAGAGGAGGCATCTGGGCTTGTCCCATTTGAATATCTGGAGCTAGTCTGACTGACCTGGCCTAACCCTGGACATCTCTGATGTCAGAGACTAGAATGGCTCTAGAAGCATCTGCTGTATGTAGCAGCCCAGCTCTCTGCTCTTCTTCTTCTGGAAATGGTTCTATCACCATCATCACCATCTGACCCTGCCCCAGGTGTGTTCTTCATTAGGGCTTTTTCCCCAACCTTCCACCTGGGCCTCCACAGTCGCACCTTGCTAAATCTTGGAGAGCAAGAAGAGAACTGGCGGATCTCAAGGCAGCCATCTTCACTCACTTCCTCTTCGTCCTCCGAGTCCATATGATGATATCGCTCTGAACGGGCTGGGCAGATATACAGAACAGTTCCTTTCAGAGCTCCTGTTGGTGGTATCCTTGGGACCCTATCAGACCTCTGAAGGGCCCTGAGAAGTTGTTCCCGACGCCAGTATGCATAGCTATTTCCAGGCACCAGAAATATCCCACCCATGGCCTTACTGTCAAAGTAGCTGGTATCATCCTCTGACTCCAGTTGAGGAATAAATTCAGCCTTCTGGCGAAGAAGTCCTGTCCAGTCCAGACCCATGAAAAATGGGTGCTGCTTTACCTCATAGGCACCTCCTGTAGGTAGGAAGGGCAGAGTGAGAGCATAAGCTGTGTGGAAAGAAGTTCAGCAAGTCAAGTGATATGCCAGACTTGGGAGATGCTAGGCCTGGAAGCAGCATTACATGATCCAGAGGGACTATCTTAGGGTGAATGGACTCAGCTCCTGTCCTCCTTTTTCTAGTCATAAGAAAGAGGAGTGGGACTGGACTTACCTGTTCCCAGTCTCTCCAAAGGGTTCTGGTGGAGCAGTTTGGAGGTGAGGTCCTGGGCATCTGGGGGCAGTGCATCGTCACCCTCAGGCCACACAATCTCATCTGAGGACATTGTGGGTAAGAAGTGGAAATTATGGGTAGAGCTAGGAGACAGTCCCAGGATAGTAAAAGGAAGGGAGGCATAAAGGAAGCCCAGAGTCCCAGCCTTGCCTGGGACCCCAATTCTTTGCATTCTATAGGTTTCTCCCCTTCTAGGAAAATCTCTTACTTCCCAGACCATGGCTTTCTCTTTCATCCAGAATAGGCATTGCACAACAGTGACTTCCCCTGTCCTAAGGCTCCAGCTCACCTGTCTTTATATTCTAGACATACATATGAAGAACTCAAATCCACAGGGTAAATACATATAAAACAAAGGACTGAGAGCCAGAGATGTGGCTTAAGTAGTAAAGCACTTGCCTACCATGTGCAGAGTCCTGAGTTCACACCCCCAGAATTTAAAAAAAAACAACCCACACACAAAAAGATAAAAAAAAAAACAGGAATGCATCTACACATAGGACATGAATACAAACAGAGCAAGCCCCAGGGGGATATAGTACATATGTGCATGTGCACATGTGTGTGCACACGCGCGCACACACACACACACACACACACACACTCTCTCTCTCTCTCTCTCTCTCCCTATACCTCCAAGAAGCAAGCATACCAAATACATTCAAATTCAGAACAAGAGCTTAAGAGCCTCAAAGGTTGTATGCATCTATCCTATTTGTGGATCAGGACTCTTGACTCCAAATTAGCCCAGGGTATGGTACCTACCACTGATCACTTGCCCAAAGAGCTCCTCCGGAGTATCTCCAAAGAAAGGGACGCAACCCACCAGAAACTCATACAGGATTACGCCCATGGCCCACCAGTCCACTGGCTTTCCATAGCCCTGACGCAGGATCACCTCAGGTGCTATGTACTCCGGGGTCCCGCACACCTGGGTAGAGAAGTCAGACTAACTCAGCATCCTGAGGCAGCTCACTGGCACAATGGCTAGAGGTAGCAATATTCCTACCCTTAGAACAAAAAAGTCTCTGAATGAAGACTCAACTCACTTCAGTTAATAAACAAGATCAACAGGAAACCCAGGGAACCAGAGGTGGAACTTTTAGTGTGGTAGATTAATATATTTCCTAATTAACCCAAGTGTCTAATTTTTTTTTTTTTTGGCCAGTCTTGGGCTTGAACTCAGGGCCTACGCACTGTCTCTGAGCTTCGTTTGCTTAAGGCTAGCACTCTACCACTTGAGCCACAGTGCCACTTCTGGCTTTTTCTGTTTATGTGGTAACTGAGGAATCGAACCCAGGATGGTTCATGGATGCTAGGCAAGTACTTTTCCACTAAGCACATTCCTATCACCCAAGTATCTAATTCTAACCAGGAACTACTCTTCCTTGAGTTCTCAACACTTCTGGCATCTGGTCCCAAAATTAGCTTCTTCCCACCAGCCTCCTAAGGACTACCACAAGGACTTTTTGAGTATCAGGGAACATCCAGAGGCTAACTCAGGAAACTGGGTTATAGCTCAATGGAAATTTAGGATATTGTTCCAAGAAAAAACAGGCTCCAGAAGATTTGCCCTTGACTCAGGCTGGAGTTTCAAGACTGATCTCATATGAAATTCTGTATTAACAGTTATATAGCTTATTTTCTCCAAGCACTGAAAGAAAAGATAACTTTGATGTTTATATTCATGATTCTTATGCCTATCATTTTCTAAATGTGCTACCTATTTCAATGAAAATTTGCATATTCTGAGGTCTAGAGTTCAATTTCCATGGTCTTACCTGTTTATCTAGGAATTCCCGAGCATCCTTTTCAATGTGACCCTCATACAAGTTGGTTGTCAGACTCATGAGGCCAATTTTAGAAAGTCCAAAGTCAGTGAGTTTGATGTGCCCCATAGATGTGATCAGAAGGCTGAGAGATCATAGAGACAAAAGGATTCAGTTATTTCCTCGTTTTCCATAAGTGTTGATTTTAGTATTTTCTAAAATTTCCCATTTAGGCCTCTATAGGGTCCTGTGGGACATAAACAGGAAGATAGGAAGCTGTGAAAAATAAATAGCTTTGGCTTTGTATTATCTTCTACCCTTTGTCATGACTCTACTTCTCTTTGTTGTCCCACCTGAATTCTACACCGGGAGTGGGGGACAGCTATCAATCAGTGGATGAAGAGACCTTCTTCTATAGAGATCAGCTTGTCCTAGGGCTGTTGCTTTAGTCATCCCTGGTCCCTCTCCTTAACTTGGGTGGCTCACAATACTCCTATTTGAGGGAAAGGAGAAATGGATGCAAAATCTTATCCCATGTACATGGCTGTCTTTATAAGGAAGACTAGTTGGGAAAAACTAAAAATCAGATTCCTTTATATATTCTGCTTGAGCCATTTCATTTTGTGCCAACAGTTTCACTTTGCTACCCATTATTCTAATGATTCCCAAGTCACTATCTTTGGTTTGAACTTCTTTCGTGAGTTACAAACCTACACAAGTGCCACACATTATAAACTCAATCTGTCTAAAACAGTCATGCATTCCAAGTGGTTCCTCTTCTCAGCACAAAACAATGCTTCTGTCTTCTACTGAACTCTGTAATGTTTGCTTTAAAAATATTCTTAGCCTAGGGGTTCAGCATGTGTGTGAGGCCCTTAGGTTCAATCCCTAGAACACACACACACACACACACACACACAAATCTGGCTCCTAAAGGTTTTCTACAGTAACTAACACAACAAACATAGGTATTCTTGTTTTAGAGTATAGAACAGGGGAACATGATGTTCATATATATTTAACAGTTAGTAAGCATGAGTAGCCAATTGAACTCAAGTTTGTAATAGCAAAGCCATCATAGAAGCTCAACACCCTATATTAGTCCAAGCTAGAAATCCGGTAGGTATTCCAGCCTCCTTTAGTTCCTTTGCTTTCTTTTTCACTCTACTCCAACCTCACAGCTGAGGTCCTATGTTTGATTTTGAACATAAAACCAAGCCAAAATAAAAAAAAATAAAAAAAAATAAAGTTATCCTTGAAAGGTTTCTAGAATAGCTAACATACCAAATGTAAGGAGTATTATCTCATTTAAGAAAGGAGGAACACTGAGGTTGGGAAGGTGGCTCAGTGGTAGAGTGCTTGCCTTGCATATATGAGGCCCTGGGTTCGATTCCTCAGCACCACATAAGCAAAAAAAGCAAGAAGTGGCACTGTGGCTCAAGCGGTAGAGCACTAGCCTTGAGCTGAAGAGCTGAGGGACAGCGCCCAGATCAGAGCCATGACCATCAAAAAACAAAACAAAACAAAAAACACTGAGAAAGCAGCAAAGGATGTTTATATCCCTTTCTATTTGCCCACACTATTTCATCTTTTCTCTAGTCTGTATGGACCTGAGGTCTGGAGTATCATCTAAACTGCATTTATACTGTACTACCTATATTTCTTTTTCTTTTTTAATGCTGATTCTGCGGCTTGAGCTCAGGGCCTGGGTACTATTCCTAAGCTTCTTTGCTCAAGGCTAGTGCTCTACAGCTTGAGCCAACAGCTCCACTTCCAGCTTTTTGTTGGTTAATTAGAAATAAGAGTGTCACTGACTTTCCTGCACAGACTGGCTTTGAATCACAATCCTCAGATCTCAGTCTCTGGAGTTAGCTAGGATTACAAGGCTTGAGTTATGGGTTATTTAAAATCTATAGTATCTTCTGTCCTTCCATCTATCTGTCTGTCCATCCATCTGTCCATCTGTCCATCCATCATGCTGAGTAAGTTGACCCTAGGCTTACTGCACTGTGCTCATAATTTGAGAACAAGACTTCAGGATTCTTTGACCAGACACATTTATGGAAGCTGACTGGAAATATCAGCCTCTAAATTCTGCACCTGTGTTGTTAGCTGAATGACCTCTTCCATACACACTGGGAATGAGGTTCTGAGCTATGGGAACATAACAGCATTTCAATGGTTTCAATGCTTCTTAGAAAGAATTCCGGATTCTTAGACCTAGTATGCCCACTGATGCTCCCTGGAAATACCTGCTTCTGAATACTACATGGTTTCTTCTACCCACTTGAATTTTGGCAAAGCAATTCAATTTGAGGTGCTGAGCAATTTGAAACCACGAGCTCTCAACTGGCTACAAGGCTTCAGACCCAGATTTCAGGTTACCTTTACCCTCTAGAATTACTGACACTGATTGGGATCACCTGCTTCTAAATGCTTAAGCTTTTCCTTTTAGGATTTCCTTTTCTTTCCTCCCTGGAAATAACTGCTTCTAAGTACCATAAGGTTACACATACCAGCTTGACTTTTGGCAAAGCAACTCAATTTGAGTTGCTGAACAAATTGAACGTAAGAGCTTTATAGTGGCTGTAAGAGTTTAAAAGAGGCATTTAGGTTTGCTTTACCCCATATGCCTATGGAGATTGACTGGGAACATCTGCTTCTAAATCTTGAAAAGTGGATGTGGATGACACAGTCACTCATTTGTCATACGAAGTGAGGTAAACCTGAAGTCATTGCACTGTGTTTAAGATTTCAGAATGAGAATTCAGCTTTCATTAACCAGGTACGTTTATGGAAGCTGACTGGAAACATCAGCCTGTAAATACTGAATGGTTCATGTTAGCCGAATGAACTCTTGCATACATACTGGGTTTGAGTTTCTAAGCCATGGGAACCTAACAGCATTTCCCTGACATCAAGGCTTCCTAGGAAGAATTCCAGCTTTGACACAGTATGCCTATGGAAGCTCCTTGGATGTATTATCTGCTTCTAAATACTATAGACTTGAATTTTGAAAAGGAAATCAGGTTGAATTGCTTAACAATTTGACTCTAAGAACTCTGCGGTGGCTACAAGTGTTCAGATTATGGCTCAAAATTGTAGAACACTGGGGGCTGGGAAGGTGGCTCAGTGGTAGAGTGCTTGCCTTGCACGCCTGAGGCCCTGGGTTCGATTCCTCAGCACCACATAAGCAAAAAGAAAAAAGCCGGAAGTGGTGCTGTGGCTCAAGTGGTAGAGCGCTATAGCCTTGAGCTGAAGAGCTGAGGGACAGTGCCCAGACCCAGAATTCAGGCCCCCACGATTGGACCCCCCCCCCAAAAAAAATTGTAGACCACTAGCCTTGAGCAAAAGTGCTCAAAGCCCAGGGCTTTGAGTTCAAGCCCCATTACCAACAACAATTAAAAATTAAAAAGAGACGGAGAACTAGACAATGAATCCTGATTATAAGCATACTTATCAGGCTTGAGGTCACGGTGCACGATGCCATAATTGTGTAGGTACTCCAGGGCCAGCACAGTTTCTGCAAAGTATAGACGCACCATGTCCACAGGAAGGGCCCCGATGTTTTTCAGCAGAGTAGCACAGTCTCCTCCTATAACAAAGCCCAGACTATCATGAGGGAGAGATCCAGTTTTCTGCTCTAGCTAGCTCTTAGGCTAGCACTCCCTAAGGACAGCTGTTAGATAACACTGTTAACTCTTAGCACATATTCACTGAATCAAATAGGTAGTTTTGTTCAGCATCAACTTAAGCGATATACTACAGTGAGAGGGTAAGAGAAGGACCACTGCAAAATCTGCTGCCCCTTGGTAGAGCTCTGACCTAGCTGTTTAGCTGTTCTTCTAATCCATTCCCCCCAAACATTCTGAGTGGATTTAAGGGATGTTCCCTTCTCAGGCCATCAGTCAGAGCAATTGCTTCCCTTCCCTTTCTTCTGAGGCCAAGATACAATCTGCCACGTACCCCAACTTGGGCTTTTGTGGCTCAGCTTCCTAACCTTTTGTTCCTGTCTGATGCCAAGGGTAGAGGGAATGGAGGCTTTCTATAGCTGCTGGGCTGCTATATCCTGTCCGAGAGTGCTTCTCATAACAGCATGGTAAAGCAATAATCTCTGAGATCCTGAAAATCAATGCCAGAGAGGGCTGGGATCTGAAACTTTACTCCTGTTTAGGTCTAAGTCTTGGATTGCACCACAGCCCCTACACAAGGTCACCTTTCCCCCAATACCTTCAGTACCTTCGACATATTCCATCACCATGCACAAGTGACGCTTAGTCTCAAAGGAGCAGAACATGCTGACCACAAAGGGGTTCTCAGCGAAAGTCAATATGTCACGCTCCACAAAGGCCTGCTGGATCTGGTTTCGTAGGATCAGATTCTGCTTGTTGATCTTCTTCATGGCAAACCGCTGCCGAGTGGACTTGTGCCGCACCAGGAATACGGCCCTGGGAAATACAGCCCAGACCAGCCCCCACAGACTCTCAGCACCTGTGCTGTGCATTCCTTTACCCACCTGCTTCCTTATACCTTTCAAGTCACCTTGTAAGTCCACAGAACAAGGGAACAGGGATATACATATTAAAGAGAGGATATGGGCCCCATGGCTCACACAAGTCTTAAATTTTGTGACAGAAAATTTCTTAAGGATCCAGTTCAATGCTTTCAGAACTCAGACAGAGGAGGAGTACCAAGAGAGGTCAAATCTTGCCTTGGAAAAATAACAATGTTCAGATGTCATAAGAAACTGAACTGTTGCTTCTCCAGGAGACTTTAGAGAGGGACAGAGTCTATTCTGAGCTATCTGCTGCCTAGGATTGGGCAGTAGATCTACTCCCAGAAGGAAGAAATCAAGTGCTGACTCAGCTCCAGTCCTGGCTATACTCTGACCCGCCTTTACCCATAAGCGCCATTGCTGATGAGCTTTATGGTTTCAAAGTCCTCTTCAGAGGGTGTCTTTTTAGATGTTAGGGATGCTCCACGGCCCTAAAAGACAAGGGAAAAGGCAGGAGACAGTGCTTCTCAGAGTTCATATGCTTAGTGAAGCAATGGTCCTAGCAACTAGCTCAGTTTTCAGCCTTGCTACAGGTACCTGCCCATTCCTTCCCATTAACCACATGACTCCAGTGTCTCCAGTCACCAACTTCCCCATCTCTCCTTCAGATGTACTTTTTTTTTTTTTAATGGGGAGGGGAGTAAGGAGTGCAGGTCTTAGGGCTTGAACTCAGGGTGCTGTCCCTGAGCTTTCTTGCTCAAGACTAGCACTATACCACTTAAGACACACATCCATTACTTTTCAGTAATGGTTAATTGGAGGTAATTGGTGGTTAATTGGAGGTAAGAATCTCATGACTCTCCTGTCCAGGCTGGCTTTGAACCTTGATCCTCAGATCTCAGCCTCCTGAGTAGCTAGGATTACAGGCATGAGCCACCGCATTCAGATGTTTTTTTTTTTTGGCCAGTCCTGGGGCTTGAACTCGGAGCCTGGGCACTGTCCCTGAGTTTCTTTTGATCAAGGCTAGCACTCTACCACTTGAGCCACAGTGCTGTATCTGGCTTTTTCTGTGTATATGGTACTGAAGAATCAAACCCAGGATTTCATGCATGTGAGGCAAGCACTCCATTACTAAGCCACATTTCTAGTCCCTAGGTATATTCCTAAAGTGAACTGAAGGGCCTTTGCTTCACAGGTATCAGGCTCCAAGATTGAGGCAGGAACTCAAGAGACTTACGTCAACTGAATCATCTGTCTCCGGAGTGTTGGGGCTGTCATAACTGCTCAGCTGGGCCATTTCTAGAAAATGCCAAGGACACAAGAAAAAAGTATGTGCAGCAATGTCAAGCACATCAGTAGTAGCCTCAAGTCATATAAAGGTGTGTGTGTGGTAGGTATTCTTTCTTATTCAGCCTGGGATGCAAGTCTAGTTCTGTGGCTCTACTCTCGGTATAGTCACAGATCAGGAAACAAGCCAAATGTTACCGTACCATTTTTACAAGTCCAGGCTTGGCACAGTCTAGCTTTTTAAAATTTTGGATGTTTTCTAGGTGACACAGCCTAAGACAGGCCACTAATATTGGTCTGCTGTTCAATAATGCTTTACTAGATGGGGTAAGAATTCAGGAAGGGATACAGAAACAGAACAAATGCCCATGGTTCATGTTGTGGCTCAGTGAGAAGCCCAGAAGAATGGAGATATCCTCTGAAGCACTAAGCTACACCATCTCCCGAAGAAAGATTTGCAAGGGGACCATCAGGAGAGGCAAATGTGTAGAGGAAGTGACCATTTTTGAAAACGTGATTATAGTCCTTTGTGGTTGACTTCATTTGAACTGAAGCTCTAAATCTAACCCAACTGGGCCCAAGACAAGGAGACACAAGGTACTTCTGAGGCCCCTGATGCCAAGTTCAGTCCATGTGCAGGTGAAATCTCTTCTTTGCAGCCAACAGGCAGTATGCTCACCTTCTAGGGGATCCCGTGTGAGGCCCAGCTGGCTGATGATGTAGCGGGGAATGTCACATTTAATTCCATGTCCCTCTTTGGCATGGCCTTCGGCTGCTTCTAAAAGGTGATAGAACTCTTCAGGGTCAAACTCCTGTACCAGAGAGACGTAATGAGTGTGAGAGATACAAGTGAATGCTGCTGGCCTCTGGTTCATAGCATATAGCAGAGGCAGGAGTGAATAAGAAGACTTGTCCTTGCAGGGCACTGGTGGCTCACGCCTGTAATCCTAGCTACTCAGGAGGCTGAGATCTGAGGATCGCAGTTTAAAGCCAGCCCAGGCAGGAAAGTCAGTGAGACTCTTGTCTCCAGTAAACCACCAGAAAACTGGAAGTAGTGCTGTAGCTCAAGTGGTAGAGTGCTAGCCTTGAGCTGAAGAGCTGAGGGACAGCGCTCAGGCCCAGAGTTCAAGCCGCATGACTGGATAAAAAGATAAGATCACCTCAACCCCTAAATACATGGAATTTAGGGATTATGAAAATAGGGACAGGTCTTTTTTTTTTTTTTTTGACAGTCATGAGGCTTGAACTCTGGGCTTGGGTGCTGTCCCTCAGCTCTTCAGCTCAAAATAAGCACTTTATCACTTGAGCCACAGAGCCACGTCTGCTTTTCTGGTGGTTAATTGGAGATAAAAGTCTCATGGACTTTTCTGCCCAGGCTGACTTTGAACTGCAATCCTCAGATCTCAGCCTCCTGAGTGGCTAGGATTACAGGTATGAGCCACCAGTACCTGTCTAAGGACATTTTTTTTTTATAGGTCATCTCTGGTGACATCCTAAGCCTATGCTGTCTTTCTAGCAATAAGGACAAGGGCTTTTGGTTTCAAGAGAGCTTAGCCTATTCATCCAGCCAAGTCTTTCTTCAACCAGATGCCACTGTTAAATATGTTCAGGTAATCAGTCCAGAGCAGACTTACAGTTCCCAAGAGCTTCAGCTCACAGCTCTCAAGCCATATGCATACTTTTGAATATTTACTGACCACCTGTATGCAAGTGCCTGGGCTCTACTGACTACACAAAATAATGAGGGTCTTACTTATCTGGGCTGCACAACTTATTTTTTAAATTATATTTAAGTAGTTTGTGAATTTCAGTTTAGCAAATCAAACTGTAAGTACAATGCATTTTGTACTTTGTGACTTTAATGCAGAAATCAAGGTTCAAAGGGATGAACTGACCTTTGAGAAATCAGGGAGAAAGAAATAGAAAACAGGTGAACAAAACTTCTGGCTCCAAGCCCTTGCTTCACCACAGATCTCAAAAGGACATAGGTCTCTAGCCTCTGCATTGCCCCTGGCTTTTATACCTCTGGTCCCAATTTTGGAGAACTACACTACTATCTATCCAGATATTATAAGCCAGACTTTAAAGTCCTTTTTTTTTTCTCTTAATTCCCATCTGGTCAGAACTTTTACCTCAAAATACTCCTGCATCCAGATGATGGTGGTTCATGCCTGTAATCCTAGCTATTCAAGAGGCTGAGATCTGAGGACTGCAGTTCGAAGCCAGTCTAGCCAGTGAGGCAGCAATGTCCAAGAGAGACTTATCTTTACTTAACCATCAAAAAGCCAGAAGTGGAGTTGTGGCTCAAGTGGTAGAATGCTATCTTTGAGCAAAAAAGCTTATGGACAGCACCCAAATTGAGTTCAAGTCCCAGGACTAGTACAAAGAACAAACAAACAAACAAACAAAAAACACCTTCACAGTCATCTCTTTTCTTTTCTCTAATTGCTGTAGAGTTTGGCCACTCCATTTCACAGACATTGCTTTAGGTATCTCTGTGCTGATTTCTCTGGTTTATTTGCCATCCATGTAGAGACCAAAGTAATTTTTCTTAGAACTAAATCTCACGGAGTATTTATTCAGAAATAAATAGAAACCACATACTAATACACACAACATATATAAACCACAAAGAAACACTATGCTGAGTGAAAACTCAGAACATTGCCATATGGTTTCAGTACATGAAACTGTACAAAGGCAAATGTATTAATGGTAAAAAACAAAACAGGTAAGTGTTCTTGGCGGAAGAACTGACCACAAAGGGCACAAAGGAACTTTTTAAAGATACAGAAACATTTTCAAATTTCAATTATAGAAGTGAATACATAGGTATGTATTTGTTGAAATTAAACAAACTATTGTATGTTTCAAAGGAATGTATTTTTTCACCAGTCCTAGGGCTTTAACTCAAGGTCTAGATGCTTGTCCCAGAGTATCTTCACTCAAGACTAACACTCAGGCCCACTTATGGCTTCTTGCTGGTTAAATGGAGATAAAAATCTCACAGACATTCTTGCATTGGCTGGCTCTGAACCAAGATCCTCAAATCTCAGCCTCTTGAGTAGCTATTAAACATGAGCCATCAGTACCTAGCTATATGTGAATTATTCTAAATAAAGATTAAGAGAAGAGTATATCTAACCACATCACATTCTAGCTTAAACTTTTTAGAAGATCCAACTTGTCTAAGAGTGTATGTGTGCGCGTGAGCGTGTGTGTGTGTGCACTCAGGGCCTGGCAACTATCCCTGAGCTACTAAGACTAGCGCTCTACCACTTGAGCCACATCTCCACTTCTGGCTTTTTTAATGGCTAATTGGAGGAAGAGTCTCATTGATTTTCCTGCCTGAGCTGGATTCGAATCATGATCCTCACATCTCAGCCTCCTGAGTAATTAGGATTACAGATGTGAGCCACAGATGCCTGGCTTCTCATCAAGTCTTAATGCAAACTCCTGAGTTGATACATACTATGTCTTCCAGCTTCGTCCCTTGCCATTTCTACTTTATTTGCTTACATTAGTTAAATGAAGGGGTGTTAAACTTCCATATGTTTAGAATATCTCAATCTCACTCCCTCTAACCCTGTCTCTTCCTCCCTTCCCCAAACAATTACAACAGGTTTTGTTATTCTATTTTCATCGATATAATACATGGACACACAGATATATACATCATCTTCTTTCATCTTCCTCCTTTTCCAATCTTTATTCCAAACTCTCCTGTTAATACTAACACGCTAACAGAGCCTGTTTCACTTTCCTCACCACTTCTTTAAATATAACCTGTGGGGTAACTCTGATGCATTGCAACAAGATGCATTGTATTCATGAACTGTTTTGTTATGTCACTTCTTTTGTATAACTTCTTGAAGATAATATATAAAATAACCTTTGTTTGCTGGCATCGGTGGCTCACGCCAGTAATCCTAGCTACTCAGGCTGAGATCTAAGGATCACCATTCAAAGCCAGCCAGGGCAGGAAAAACCATGAGACTCTTATCTCCAATAAACCACTAGAAAACCGGAAGTGGCGCTGTGGCTCAAGTGGTAGAGCGCTTGCCTTGAGCTGAAGAGTGCAGAGACAGTGCCCAAGCCCATAGTTCAAGCCCTACAACTGACCAAAACAAAACAAAACAAAACAAAAAACCACCTTTGTTCCACTGAATGTTCTAGTTCCATGTCCCTTACGTGGCAAACTTGTACTCATCCTTGAAGTCCCCCCTCCTGGTTCCCAGACTTTTCATTGCATCTTCACTCCAAGGAGAATTAAAATGTTTATTCCCTTCACCAGGTTCCCATGGTAACCAGTACAGACCATAACTGTGTCTCCTGTAATATTGTAATTGCCATTTATACATATACATACTTTATACTTGCAAACACTACAGGAGACATCTTGAAATCAGTGACTTTGCTTTATTCATGCTTGTATCTCTTATGTCTAACATGATGTAGGTATTCAGTAACATACCTGAATGGTTAAATGAAGGACTCCACTTGTACAAACCAAACTGGCCTAGGTTACATGACACTCCTGGCTTCCAAAGTTCCCACTAATCTAGGACTGGCTCAGCATGTCAGACTAATTTATCTATCTATCTATCTATATTTTTTGCAAATCATATTTAAATATGGAGCTCAGCAACAAAAATGGCAGTGGTACTGTCAATTTTTTGTTGGCAAAATACTTCCTCTGATGTTACCACTCCCTACCTCCCCAGCCAGCCTTTCCAGAGTTCACTCACCAGGCATTCTAGGAGACGAGCTGGGCGGGCAATGACAATCATCAGCTTTTTTACCAGCTGTATTACAAAGGCTACTTCGGAACTCTCTGAGCGCTCATGAGCCTACAGAGAACACAAAGGTTGCTTAAACAATTTGATTTTAGACAAATTGGATAGTGGAAAAGATAAGTTCAGTTTGAGACTTGAATAGTTTAGGGATTTGCACAGATGCTCCTTCAGAAAGGACTACATCTCTAAAAATGAATTAAGAGAACTTACCATGTTAATGGAACATGAGAAAATGGATAAACCTAGAGGGTAAGCCCTGCTATGTTTCTCCTGGGTTAAGGACAAACAATGGGAAGGCACTACTTAAGCCAATTATTTCTGGTGGAAGAGAGTCTACCATATCCATTGAGGCTACTTTTTTGACTTTGGTAACAAGTCAAATACTTAAGAATGCTACTTATGTTGGTACCTCAGACACAGTAATACAGCTTTGTTTGTTTGTTTTTTTGGGTCCGGTCATGGGGCCTGAACTCTGGGCCTGGGCACTGTCCCTCAGCTCTTCAGCTCAAGGCTAGCGCTCTACCACTTGAGCCACAGTGCCACTTCTGGCTTTTTTCTTTTTGCTTATGTGGTGCTGAGGAATCAAACCCAGGGCCTCTGGCATGCAAGGCAAGCGCTCTACCACTGAGCCACCTTCCCAGCCCTGTGAGTTCTTTCTTAATCCAAAGCTATATTACTGGGGCTGGGAAGGTGGTTCAGTGGTAGAGCGCATGCCTTGCATGCCAGAGGCCCTGGGTTTGATTCCTCAGCACCACATAAGCAAAAAGAAAAAAGCCAGCAGTGGCGCTGTGGCTCAAGTGGTAGAGCGCTAGCCTTGAGCTGAAGAGCTGAGGGACAGCGCCCAGGCCCAGAGTTCAGGCCCCACGACCGGACACCCCCCCTCCCCCAAAAAAAGAAAGAACTCACAGAACCAAGTTTTCTTTGATACAAAATAAAGTACTTTTAGTGATACAGGAGACTGGGAAGGGGTCTGAGTTCATCAGTGCCACATTTGAAGGTAATTGCTGAACAATGGTGAGACTCATTTCTGATGCAAGCCTGAGACTACCACAGAGAAATTTCATTATAGCCCTGAGGACACTCACATCTTGCAAAAGTTTCTCCAAATTCTCTTGAAGTTCGTAGAAGTAGTGCGATGTAATGAGGCCACTCCGAGATTTATCCAGGCAGTCTCGGGCCATCTCAATCACTTGGTGATGAATGAAGCTCAGGGCTCCATCTGCCAAAGGCAACACACTATCTGGAGTGTTGGAAGAAATGAACTCTGCTAGTCGCTCTTCCATTTGTGCAGTGGCCTGTGAATAAAAGCAAGAAAATTTGACACTTCTCTTCAAGTCTCAGTTTGCTACAGCTAAGCTTGAAGGACTTAGCAAAGGGCCTAAAAGATGGGCTCATTCTGTAGTTTGCATCTGGGAAACATGATAATGGAAAAAAAATATGACAAGAGATCACATTCAAATCAGGATGCCCAGAACTGTACAAGGCTCTCTCTTGTCTGACTCTACATGTGTTCCAGCACTCCTTGAAGCACAAACTCTTTTACTCTGAAGACATGATGGTTTGCTGTTTTCTTTTACCATGTGTTATTTCAGCCTTCGCTTTATACTGTTCCATGAGTGTGGTTTTCTCACCCCTCCAGCTCTTCTGTGGAAGCTCCTGTTTATTCCTTTTCATCTCATTCAAGCATTCACCTCTTCTTGGGGAAGCTTTTACTCCCTAGCAAACCAGGGTTCTCTTTCCTTTGTGCTACCAGTGGGCCTCCCTACTGTATATACTAAATATCCAGACGTGGCTGGTTTCTAAACCTTTCTTTGTCCTAGGAAGTTCTACAAATCAGAGTTTTTTTTTGGTTGGTCGTGAAGCCTGAACTCTAGGCCTGGGCACTATCCCTCAGCTCTTCAGCTCAAGGCTAGCACTCTACCACTTGGGCCATAGCACCATTTCCAGATTTTTCTGCTTATGTGGTGCTGAGGAATCAAACCCAAGGCTTCATGCATGCAAGGCAAGCACTCTACCACTGAGCCACCTTCCTAGCCCTACAAATCAGAGTTTTATCACCTAAGTGTTCTCTTATTTAAACCTGAGGATTTGCTTATCAAATCTACTGAACATAGCTAAACAGTTTCTCAGCGGTTTACTAAAGGCATGAATTTCTTTGATCTCTGGAGCCAAAATGTGATGGGAGACTGTGAATAGGAACATGACTAGATTCCTAGAAGGCAAGAAAGGCATCTAGTACAGTATATCATGTCAAAATGACAGATACATATCAGTGAACAAGTTTTGTTTTTGTTTTGTTTTTTGTCAATCATGGGGCCTGAACTCTGGGCCTGGGCACTGTCCCTCAGCTCTTCAGCTCATGGCTAGCACTCTACCACTTGAGCCACAGCACTGCTTCCAGCCTTTTCTGCTTATATGGTGCTGAGGAATTGAACCCAGGGCCTCATGCATGCAAGGCAAGCACTCCACCACTGAGCCATCTTCCCAGCCCCAGGGAACAAGTTTGTAGATGCCTTTCCAGGAGTCTGACATTTTCCCTTTGCTACTAGGTGGTGAATTCTGATTTCCAGTACTTTGTGATAAACTTATGCATGCACATACACACTGGGAAAAAGAGAATGGGAGTTATAAGTAGGAGGATCTAGGTTCAAGACTGGCTTAGGGAAAAAACAGGCCAAGGCAAAAAGACTGTATCCAAATACAAAACAAAAACAGGCTAGAGGTGTGGTTCAGGTGGTAGAGCACCTGCCTAGCGATTTCAAAAAAAAAAGGAGGATAGGAAGGGGGCTTAGTGGTAGAGTGCTTGCTAGCATTCATGAAGCCTTGGGTTCAATTCCTCAGTATCACATAAACAGAAAAAGCCAGAAATGGCACTATGACTCAAGTGCTAGCCTTGAGCAAAAGAAACTCAGGGACCATGCCCAGACCATGAATAAAAGCCCCACGATCTGGGGGGGCGGGGAAAGGAGGCAGCTTGAGCACCTTAGGCTCCTGTGGTCATGGATAGTGGTCCATTGTTCTATCTCAATATGATGCTGGCTTCTTTCTTTCTTCAGGAACAAGGCCTATCTCACAAGTTTAGGCCAGAATGCACAACAAGTAGCACCTAATCAGAATGCAGAGCAAGGTCCAGAAGGTTTGTAGCACAAGTGTATATGCTATTTCTTAGCTATGTTAGGTAGCAATCTACCTCCCCCCCTCAGCATTTTCCTGCTTAGAAATGCAAATACAAATATTAGTAACTCCTGAAACATCATTTGTTTCTCTTCCTATTGTCCAGTCTAGCCTCTTCGTGCTAGCTCACACCCCTCTGACTAGATACTCTCTAGGGGACATCTTGAGATATTTGTACCAAATGAAGGTATGATCTGAGGGCAAACCTGCTATGAGGGAAACCTACAGACACATATCCTGATGTTCATGGTGACTGAAGGGGATGTCACTGTAAAGATATACCTTTCTAATCACCTCTCCCTCTGGGAAATGGAGAAGCAGGCGTTTTGTAAATTCATAGTCCCTGTAATTACTTCCAGCTTCTCCTGCAGTCTGGAAGCTCCTCTTTCTCCTCCTCTGGGTGCCTTTCTGTTCTTTTTTGGTGTTCTCTCTCTCTCTCTCTCTCCTCTCTTTCTCTTTGCCAGTCCTGAGGCTTGAACTCACGGCCTGGACACTGTCCCTGAGCTTCTTTTGCTCAAGGCTAGCACTCTACCACTGAGCCACAGTGCCACTTTTGGCTTTTTCTGTTTATGTGGTACTGAGGAATCAAACTCAGGGTTTCGTGCATGCTAGGCAAGCACTATACTAGTATGCCACATTCCTAGCCCCTTTGGTTACCTCTGGAGGCAGCACTCCACCCCACTCCAGTCTTCCAACTGAGTTGCATAAGCAGCCATCTTTACACATTACCATTTCCTTTAAAATAGATGCTTACCTTGGGGAATCTTTCTTTGTACACATGATTCATCATTATTATTTCACTGTCAAATGAAACTGGGGACCGTCCAGGACTAAGTGAGAAAGAAATAATTGTGTTACTTTAGTGCTATGAAACTACCAAAAAGATAGCTTCCCAACTGTCTTCAGTACCCTGTATACTCCCATCTTGAGATAGGCTATCTTCCTGCAAGAAGCCTAGCCTCACCTCTGTTGCACTCTGAAAAGGCTGAGCCCATTGGTGGCTTTCCTAGTATGATCACCACCAATATAGGAATCTGTTTTTATGGCTTTGTCCAGTGGGATTTGGTATATGCCACCATGTTTTAGGAATGCAATCAACCACCCCACAACAGCCAAAGAAAGACTATATTATTTATTTTTTCCAAACAAGCTGTAGACAATGGGGCTAACCGAGTTCACATGAGAGAACCAGGAAACCATTCATCTGCACATCAATGAGTTCAATCAACCTTACAGTGAGTTGTAAGTCTGGGTCATTTACGGAAAGGAATCAGTATGATTATTTTTTTTTTGTTGGTCGTGGGGCTTGAACTCTAGGATTGAGCACTATCTCTCAGCTCTTCAGCTCAAGGCTAGTATGCTACCACCTGAGTCACAGCGCCACTTCCGGTTTTCTAGTGGTATATTGAAGATAAGAGTCTCATGGACTTTCCTGCTTGGGCTGGCTTTGAATCGTGATCCTCAGATCTCAGCCTCCTGAATAGCTAAGATTACAGGCACCGGCGCCCAGCAGGAATCAGTATGTTTTATCCTTAATTATCCTCCTTTAGAACTTGGATCTTTCCTCTAGTCAAAGATATGGTTATATCTTCTTAAACATTTCAAGTTTTTGCTGGGCGCGAGTGGCTCATGCCTGCAATCCTAGCTATTCAGAAGGCTGAGATTTGAGGATTATAATTCTTTTTTTTTTTTTTGTCGGCCGTGGGGCTTGAACTCTGGGCCTGGGCGCTGTCCCTCAGCTCTTCAGCTCAAGGCGAGCACTCTACCACTTGAGCTACAGTGCCACTTCCGGTTTTCTGCTGGTTTATTGGAGATAGGAGTCTCACAGTCTCTCCTGCCTGGGCTGGCTTTGAACCTCGATCCTCAGATCTCAGCCTCCTGAGTAGCTAGGATTACAGGCGTGAGCCAAAGGATTATAATTCATAGCCAGCCCAAGCAGGAAAGTCCGTGAGACTCGATCTCCAATAAACCACCAGAAAATCGAAGTGGCACTATGGCTCAAGTGGTAGAGCGCTAGCCTTGAGGTGAAATGCTGAGGGATAGTGCTCAGGCCCAGAGTTCAAGCCTGACCAACAAAAAAAACCAAAAACAACAATTTCAAATTTTGAGCCACATAGTTGAATGGATATTTGGGTTCTGCCCAGTTTAATGCCACATCTGATATCAACTAGGCTAGGTCCAGATTTGTTCCTCTCTGCCTTTCTCTATGGAATGTTACCTGTTTTATCCAAGGACTTCTCTGAGTTTCACTATGGACCTCTTAATTTCAATTGGCCTAAAAGCTACTCTTTATGTGAGTTTCTGAAACCAAAAAGTCTCTGTGAGATCAAGAAAGACACTAGGATCTATACTCATTATTGTATTTTTGTTGCTGTTGTTGGTCATGGGGTCTGAACTCTGGGCCTAGACGCTGTCCCTCAGCTCTTCAGCTCAAAGCTAGTGTTCTACCACTACAGCCACAGTGCTACTTCCAGTTTTTTCTGCTTATCTGGAGCTAAGGAGCTGAACCCAGGACCTCACGCATGCAAGGCAAGCACTCTACCACTGAGCCATCTTCCTAGCCCTCATTGTTGTATGCTTGATCCTTTGTACTTAAGCTTCCGTCATCATCTTCATCTATCTATAACTAATCAGTCTTCCTGTTCTGGTCCAGCTCACTCTGCTACTCATGGTGCCAATATCATCAGAGAGATTCTTCTTGGGAGACACTGATGCCCCAGAATCCTATCCTTCATATTAGCCAATGCATTACTTCCCAGGAACTCTTGAAAGCTAAATTCAGTCATTAAAACCACACTCATTTTCATTTCTATCCTTTTCCTTAGACTGGAATGTTGAGATGGAGTTACCAGCTAATGCCAAAGAAAAAGAACAGTTAATCAGAGGAATTTGACTAGCTGTATGCCTTAATGGCTGAGTACATGTGAGGCCCTTGATTTGATTTCCCAGCCCCCAAATGAACAAAACAAACAAGAACTCAGAGAATTCACAGATGAATCAGGTATTAAAATTTGTTTGGCTTGATGAAGGTGGGCCCAGGTGGTTCAAAGAAATGAGATAGATCCAGGTGTTTAATTCTGCTTCTCCCACTCCATACTTAAAAAAAAATAGCACTAACTAGTTGTACAAGCAGGTTTCATTTTGACAGACCCATATATGCAAACAAATGCACCTTAATTAGGCTCACTCTTTGTGTTCTGTTTTGGAATTGGGGTTCTTCCCCAAGTCAGACACCTGAAAAAGCCTGAGACTTTTTTTTGGGGGGGGGTCTGGTTGTGGGCCTGAACTCTAGGCCTGGGCGCTGTCCCTCAGCTCTTCAGCTCAAGGCTAGCGCTCTACCACTTGAGCCTTTTTTTTCCCTGCTTATGTGGTGCTGAGGAATGGAACCCAGGTCCTCATGCATGCAAGGCTAGAGTTCCACCATTGAGCTACCTTCCCAGCCCTTGAGACTTTTTCAGCTGGTTTAACTCAAATGCCCTGGGCCCACAGTTGTGCAACTAGGTAACCACCAGAGCTGATGATATTTTTGTTCTCTTTTACTGAATGGAGTTTGAAAGGAAAAAAGTGAGAGATCACTTGACAGCATCAGCATATTGTTCTTGGGATGATGAGCTGAGCTAAACCTAAAGCTAAAAAGCTTAAATACCACTATACTTGACTTACTCAAGTAGTGAATGTGCTTAGCCCAGTATTAGCAAACTATGGTCTACAGATCAAATCTGACCTAATACTTTTTATTTTTTTGGCAAAGATTCTTAATAACCTGTAGATGTTTTTATACTATAATGGCAGAGTTAAACATGTGTGACAGATGAATGGCCTGAAAGCCTAAGGTATTTACCATCTTGGCTCTTTATAGGACACATGCACTGACCCCTATGCTATGCAAACAAGCTGAAGCCCAAAGGTACAGGGACAGTGGACAACAAACAGCATCCTTCACCTGAGGCTGCGGGAGCGGGGCCGCATGGCTGGAGACTGCCGTCCCTCCTCATCTGGCACACTCTCTGTACTGAAGTGTTTTGTCAGAAAGTGCAGCTCATCAGCTGTAGGCTGGAAAGGCAACTGATGCAGTTTTTCTTGTGAGGAACATGATGACTAGAGGGGAAAACATTAAAGCCAGCATTAAAGATAAGTACAAGGGCATTGAAGCATGGAAAAGACAATCTGCTCATGGATTTCTTGGTCAACATAAACCCTAAGTAGGCCTTCTTTCCCAGCACCCTCAGTCTAAACTAGCCATGGAAGCTCTCACAGCCTACCGGCCTGAGGAAGCCAAGACACAGAGTCCTTTAGATACCACACTGGGAGCTGAACCCATTATACCAAGTTGCTGCCTTAGATGGCAAACAGCAGATACTCTGCCTGAACCTTTTGCCTTCAATAAAGCTTCTGACTCACTGGAATGGTAAAGTAATGGATGAATGTTTCCTGGCTTGGAAAATATTCTAGATATGATCATATGCAACCGATATCTCCCTGTGTTCTCTTTTGCCACTTGAGAGTATCACCCGAAGAACAGCTCAGCAATGTTTTCTTTTGGCTATAAAGCCAGAGAGCTGGCTTTGCTGATATTAAGAGGGCTATAGCTAGAAGCCAGGACCATCATGTGGCAAGAAAATCCAGCAGAGAAGAAAATTACTTCTCACTCTAGAGCTGAATTTAGACTTGATCTGTAAGCAATCATGAATTCTAAACATGGCTCAATACTTGAAAATTTCTGACAAGAACCCACCACTCACAGAAGGCCATTCAGAGAGCAAGCAAGTGCCACTGAAGGAATCTGCAGATGCATCTGTTGCTGTGACAACCCAAGTGGCTCCTGGATCAGGGAACAACCCCCTTTCCTATCAAGACTGACTGACAGAAGGCAAAAAAAATCACTTGTTTGAATAAGGGATTATAGCAAAAGAGGCATTTATCTGAAAAAGGTCTTAAGTTTTGCTGCCAAAGACCAAGGAGACCTTTGGATTAATTTAAAAGTAGTATCTATGTCAAAGGAGGAAATGGTACTATTTTTCCTTGTTTGGAATTTATGTCTATAGACAGACTAAGCAGGAAGAACTGGAAGAGTGGTGAAAGAAATGAGGACAGGATCCTTAAGTCTATGGCCTAAAAATCCTAAAACAACCATGTGGCTGGCTCTTCACAGAGTAAGCTTGCTAACCCTGCCACTCTGGCCTTTTGTTGTTATTGTTGTTGGTCGTGGGGCTTGAACTCTGGGCTTGGGTGCTATACCTCAGCTCTTCAGCTCAAGGCGAGTGCTCTACCACTTGAGCCACAGTGCCACTTCTAGTTTTCTGGTGGTTTATTGGAGGTAAGAGTCTCACAGACTTTCCTGCCTGGGCTGGCTTTGAACCGTGATCCTCAGATCTTAGCCTCCTGAGTAGTTAGGATTATAGGCATGAGCCACCAGTGCCCAGACTTTCTTTGTTTTTTGTCAGTTGTGGGGCTTGGTCTCTGGGTCTGGCTAGCTTTCTACCACTTGAGCCATAGTGCCACTTCCAGTTTTCAGGTGTTTTATTGGAGATAAGAGTCTCACAGACTTTCCTGCCCAGGCTGGCTTTGAACCGAGATTCTCAGCCTCCTGAATAGCTAGGATTACAGCTAGCACCTGGCCCACCCTGGCTTTAACAAAAAGTTGCTCAAAGAGGAAGGTTTACTGTAGGGTCAATTGTGCATACTAGCAATTAGCACATTTGTTGTGTTTTGGGCTAAAACCATCTCTGAAAGAAATAAAAATTTTAGAGACAGGCCCAGCCTTTTATTGATACACATCAAATGTAGACACCAAATAACAATCATTCTTCTCTTCTTTTTTGAAGGAAGAAGGTAAAAAAGGGTCTACCAGGCCTTTGGGATAAGAGAGGGATTGATTTTCTGTTCTAGAAATAAAGCTGGGGACGGTGGTGGTAAGGGAACCTGCTTAGGAACTCCCATGCTTGGTCTTACAGGAAGAGGGAAAGTCTATCCTCAAGTCCTCTAACTTCACTAGGAAGACTGACTCCCAGGGAGGGTTCTGGTTAATTATTCTGAAGGTACTTATAGATCTGGCTATGTCTGTGAAGGACCACCAATCCCATTCCCCACTTAGCCCTATACTTTAGCAACTTCATTGAATTTGGAGGAAAAGCTGAAAACCATTTTGCACTATGGCTGGAAAGCAACAATCCATAAGGAAATAAGGAAGTACTTTCTTGGGGTGAAGGACAATGGCCAGAGCTGTCTACTTACTGAGACAGTAGAGCTAGGAGTGTTGGTTCCATAGCCTGACGAAGGCAAAGAGGCCAAAGACCAGCGTCGTCCATCAGTCCTATGAAGAAAAAGAAATTTAGGCATTTCTCCAGGTTCCTACCCTGCCTGTCTGTATCCATCAGCATCTGTTTTGCAAGTGATTCATTGGTGAGCTCCTCTTTGTCTCTAAACAGTATTGTTCTGTCCAGATGTGCTCTCATGTCTCTCCTTGTGTGATTTCTACAGCAGAGCTAGACCTCACTGACTACAGAGTCCATTACTTTGAATAAGAACAAAGTCATATAAAATTGTGGTTGTGGAACAAGTATTTTAACACTTTCAACTTTTTTAATGTCAGAGAAGCAATGACAGAGGACTCTAGCTATAGGCATCAGTACAAAAGCAGAACTTCTGCTGAAATGCAGCTGTTTCCTTTTTATGTGTGTGAGATGGGGGAGAGGATGTTTCATTATGTTGCCCAGGATGGCCTTGAAGTTCTGGGTTCAAGTGATTTCCTGTTGTAGTCTCCTGAGTGCTGGAATTACAGGTGTAAAGCCCAGCCTTTTATTTCCTTTTTGTTGCTGGTACTAGGGCTTGAACTTGTGCCTGAAGTGGTGCTCTTGCTTTGTTCTTTGTTTTTGTTTTTGCTCAAGGCTACTGCTCTATTACTTGAACCACACCTCCACTTCCAGCATTTTACTGGTTAATTAAAGATTAAGAGTCTCAGATTTATTTACCTGGCTGGCTTTAAACCAGGATGCTTAGATCCCTATGGGATAACTAAGATAACAGATTTGAGCCACCAGTTTCTGGCTTATTTCCTTTTTTGAAGGTTCTATGTATAGTTTTCTCAGGCTAAGGGTTCACAATCAGAAAGAAGTAAATCACCATCTGGGTCTAGATGGAATATCAATTGATGGCAAATATTTACAGGTCGCCTAGGACCCACTAGGATCCATGAAGCCAGTCTTTGAGAATACTTGCCAAAGAATGACAGTAACTTTATGTAAGACGAGGGATGTGACATACTTTGGGTAGATATGAGACTCTGAAGGTTGCTTCCTTCTGTTCTCAAAAGGATGTTCTCCAAAGCTCTTATTACAAAGAACCACAATTATGTGGTGGAGAAGATTAAGCACAGGTATCTAATTTGAAGTTCTTGTAATATGGACATGCAATTCTCTGCCTAGACTGTGGAATATAGCCTAAAACATTCTTTCTCTTCCAACTTGGTAGTAGAGCCACCTCAGATTGAAGGAAGATGGATTAAAAAATGTCTTTGCTGCTACTCATGAAGACTCTTAGCACTCAACGATGGAGGATCTTTAAAAGTTAAGTTCTTATCACAATTCACAGAGAAAATTACAAGGTGAAGAGATTTGGATGATTTATTCAAGGCTTCACAGTTATGGTAGGGGGCAGGAAGGAGGGTGAAAGGAAGAAATCTTGATAGGGCTTCTCCTTTTGAAGCACTCCTTCCCACCCTCACCAGTTCTGAGTGGTTTTCCTACTGAATTCTGTAAGCAAAGAATTGGGGATTCCATGCCACATGCACATGACTTAAATTACAGCCACCTGACAGTTAGCACATGTAACTTACAACTCTGCTGGAACCAGTCTCAGAGAAATGGGCTCATTCTGTCTGTCTGATCTCTTCTGAATTCTAGAACTCTATACAAGAAAACCACTTAATTTCAGGAAAATAGAGCCAGTAAAGATGAGCTCTGGGATAAAGTTCCTAAGCTCTTGTCAAATGCATTTTTTCAAATGTTATTTTCAGTCTTTTTAGGTAGATATGGAAGCCAACTGCATCACCATCATTTATCCGCATATACTGAAGATCAGAGGCTACCAGAGTCAGTATGAAATGCCACCATTAGTTGTAATGGCCTCTTCACTGGGAGATGGAGGAAAGTTTTCAGAATGAGGGCAACATAGCCGTAGGGTCTGAAAATCCTGGCTCCAAACTCATGGGCTCTAAGCTTCGGTTCCAGCAAGTAGTAAGATATCTCTTTGATAGATATGAAAGGCCCAACGTTCATAACCACAATCAGAAAAGAATCATCACAAACAGTTCTCTCACCAAGCACAAAAACATAAGGCATACTGTCAGGCCATGCATAGCAGTGGCCCAACCTCTTTCCCCATTACATCTACTATTACCTGTCTGCTCTGTGGCCATGGCTGTAGTAAAAGACATATGTTATCATGAGAACCAAGAGAATAATAAAGAATGACTGATCTGTTTTACTTCCAACATTTGGCTAGTTTGGCAGAGGACACCTTTCTTATTTAGGAATGTGTGGCAATTTGAAGTGAAACTATATGACTGGGTCTATCCTTAGTGTTTAATTAAATCTACCTTTTGCACAATAGTTGAAACCAATATGATCCTATTGGGTTCCAAGCCAGACCTCAGTGACACAGGCACCAACAATTTCTTCAGCAATAACTAGCAGTTTTTCCTACTATGTTTATAAAAGGATAGCCCAGGGATCCATGTTCCATGCAAATGACTCAAATATTATGCTTTCTAGCAGAGATCTGTTTGGGTCTCATTGGCAATTTCCCAAACCTCTTAGTTGTTCTTACTCCTGAAGCCTAAATAAAATGAGTTAAAGGGCATCAATGAATCCCATATTTCCTTCTGCCCAGAATAGTCTCCATGCCTGTATTCTCACACCCAACACAGAAGCTGCTTCTCATCCTTCAATCTTATAGGACCACTCACTCGGTAGGAGACTTAGAGCCCACTCCTTTCTTATTCATATATATATATATATATACCAGAGGGTTACAGTTACATGAGTTGGGTAATGAGTACATTTCCTTTATCGAGCATTGTTACCTCCTCCTTTGTTTTTCCCCTACCGTCCCTTCCCTGCCGTCCGTTCCCTTCTTATTCTTTTATGCATCATTATGTCCTTTCTCTTGACGTTTTCATCAGAGCTTATGACTATGTTTGCTTGTTAATTTATTGTCCTTTCCCTATAATGCTCACTTACTCGATAAGCACTGTTTATTATGTACCAGGAGATAATTTTCAATAGCCTAAGGTATCTATTAAGCGGTCTAAGGTGTCTATTAAAGGTAATCTGATTATGGTTGAGGTGACACAGAAAACATATAAATAAGAAAAAAACAGGTATTAGAAAGTACTAGTTTAGGGGGGTGGGGGGAGGATGGGAAGGGATGGAAAGGGGAAACAAAGGAGGAGGTTACAATGCTTGATAAGAAATGTACTCATTATCTTACCCATGTAATTGTAACCCCTCTGTACAGTATTTTCACAATAAAAAAAAAAGAAAGTACTAGTTTAAAAACTGACAGGGGGGCTAGGAAGGTGGCTCAGTGGTAGAGTGCTTGCCTTGCATGCTTTGAGGCCCTGGGTTTGATTCCTCAGCACCACATAAGCAGAAAAGGCCAGACGTGGTGCTGTGGCTCAAGTGGTAGAGTGCTAGCCTTGAGCTGAAGAGCTCAGGGACAGTGCCCAGGCCCAGAGTTAGGCCCCATAACGGACAAAAACAAAAACAAAAAAAAAACCACAGAACAAAACAAAACAAAAAAACCCCACAAAACAAAACTTGACGGGGGGGGGGGGGGAAAGGCAGGGGAGCTGGGCTGGGAAGGTTGCTCAGTGGTAGAGTGCTTGCCTTGCATGTATGAGGCCCTGGGTTGGATTCCTCAGCACCACATAAGCAGAAAAAGCCAGAAGTGGCGCTGTGGCTCAAGTGGTAGAACACTAGCCTTGAGCTAAAGAGCTGAGGGACAGTGCCCAGGCCCAGAGTTCAAGTCCCACGACCGACCAAAAACCAAACAAATGAACAAAAACAACGACAGGGTTAGAGATGTGACTCGGGTAGTAGAGTGCCATCCATGAGCGAAAGCATCAGATACTGACTTTGAGCCCTGTTTTTCTCTCTCTCTCTCTCTCTCTCTCTCACACACACACACACACACAACCTATATTATTTGATAGAGAATGTTTAGATTATATGGTTAGGGAAGGTTTCTCTAGGGAGACAACATTTAAGATGAGATTTGAATGAAAAGAATGAATTAATGAAATGAAGTGCTGAGGGAACAGCTTTCTTTACAAAGGGGATGAGTACATAGACTCTAGTATGTCTCTCAGTTTCAAGAAAATAAGGACTGGGGCTGGGAATGTGGCTTAGTGGTAGAATGCTTGCCTAGCATGCACGAGGCCTTGGGTTCTATTCTTCAGTACCACATAAACAAAAAAAGCCAGAAGTGGTATTGTGACTCAAGCAGTTGAGTGCTAGCCTTGAGCAAAGAAGCTAAAAGACAGTGCCAAGACTCTGAGTTCAAGCCCCAGGACTGGCAAAAAAAGAAGTAGGGACTATGTCTGTTTTGTTAGCACTAGATAAGAAAGCACCCAGCATAGTACATGGCTGAAAGTTTGATTCTGAGTAAATATTTATTTATTTACCAGTAAATATTTACTAATATTTACCAGTATATTCTTTTCTTTTTGGGATACTGTGATTTGAACTCAGGACCTCATGCTTGCTAGGCAAATGTTCTATCCCTTGAGCCACATGCCTAGCCATTTTTGCTTTAGTTACTTTTCAGGCAGGGTCTTGCATCTTTGCCCTAGCCAACCTGAACTCCAATACACCTACTTATACCACCCACATAGCTAGGATAACAGGTATTTACCACCATACCCTGATTTTTGGTTGAGATGAGGTCTGTAACTTTTTTGCTCAGGCTAGCTTCAAATCACAATCTTCCCAATCTCCACCTCCTAAGTAGCTAGGATGACAGATTTGAGCCTATGTAGGCTGGCCAATCCAGAATATTCTTTTGTTGTTGTTGTTGGTCATGGGGCCTGAACTATGGGCCTGGGCACTGTCCCTCAGCAATTCAGCTCAAGGCTAGTGCTCTACCACTTGAGCCACAGCACCACTTTTGGCCTTTTCTGCTTTTTTTTTTGTCAGTCGTGGGGCTTGAACTCTGTCCCTCAGCTCTTCAGCTCAAGGCGAGCACTCTACCACTTGAGCTACAGCGCCACTTCCGGTTTTCTGGTGGTTTATTGGAGATAGGAGTCTCACGGTCTCTCCTGCCCGGGCTGGCTTTGAACCACGATCCTCAGATCTCAGCCTCCTGAGTAGCTAGGATTACAGGCGTGAGCCACCAGCGCTTGGCTTGGCCTTTTCTGCTTATGTGGTGCTAAGGAATCCAATCCAGGGCCTCATGCATGCGAGGCAAGCACTCTTCCACTGAGCTGCCTTCCCAGCCCCTCCTGCCTGGGCTTTGAACCACAATCTTCAGATCTCAGGTCTCAGATCTCAGGCTCCTGAGAGCCAGGATTTCAGGCCTAAGCTACCAGCACCTAACTTCCAGTATATTCTTACAGTGCAAGTAATCCTATTTGAACCTCAGTTGACTAACTGGGAGTTACACAACAGAGGAATCCATGGAACAAACCTGAATGATATTTCTGATGAGCAAGGCAACTGGGTCAGAAGGGGTACCCAAGTCAGTCATCAGACCTCCCTACCTTTCTAAGTCTTTTTCTGAAACATAGAATCTGGAGAGAAATGGGATAACTTGAATAGTGAGTAAATACTATTTCTAGGAGTCTGTTCTTTATTGTTTTTGGTTTTTTTTTTGTATTTTTTTTTTAGGTGCTTGAACTCAGGGCCTGGCATTGTCCTTGAGTTCTTTTTTTGCTTAAGGCTAATACTTTACCACTTTAAGCCACAGTACCACTTCTGGTTTTCTGGGGGTTAATTGGAGATAAGTCTCATAGACTTTCTTGGCCTGAGCTGGCTTTAAACTGCCATACTCAGATCTCGGTGTCCTGAGTAGCTAAGATTACAGGTGTGAGCCACCAGCACCTGGCTACCCTGAGCTTTTTAGTTCCAATTCAAGGCCAGCACCATACCATTTGAGTCACAGCTCCACTTCCAGATTTTTGGTGGCTAACTGGAGATAAGAGTTTCACAGACTTTCCTGCCCAGGTTGGATCACAGATCCTCTGATCTTAGCTTCTGAGTTGCTAGGAGTATAGACATGGGCCACTGGCATCCAGCTTATTGTGTCTTTTTTTTTTTTTTTAAGTAAGTATGCATTAGGTATACATGGGTGAGAGAGGTATTTCATTGTGACGTTTTCACAATGTATTCCCATCAGTCTCTATGGTGTATTTTTAACAAGTAGCCTGAGCCAGGCACCTCTAAAATTTTTAGTGGAAAATAACTGAACACGTGGTAGTCTTTCTATGCCCACACTTGGGTGAAGCTGACAAGAACGGTATGTCTCTAGCCCTTGGAACTAGATGGATTAAGAGCATCATTTTGGGAAATGCTGGGAGGAGAGACCATTTTTTCATTGGTCAATGTAAGATAGCTCCTATTTGGAACGTACTCTTAGGACATCGGGAACTTGTGCTTGGTATTATAAAAATACTTCTTATTTGTGTTTACTTTTCCTTTCAAACACTCAACTAGGAAGCAAAATTTCAATAAGGTGATTATAATCTGGAAGTAGAAAGCAGGAAAGGAGTTTTATGATTAGTAGATGAAGGTAATCCAACTCACTTGAAAGAACACTGACTTGGATGAATTTGACACTCAACTAACATTCATGCAAGTGCCACATATATTAGTCACAGAAGAAATTTTCTCACAACTTACCTACGGGCAGGAACAAAGGAAAAGTGAGCGGGTGCATTTGGAGAGAAATTCCGGGGGCTGTCCAAAGGACTGTTACCTGTGATGGGGAAAAGAAAGACACTCTGTGAGATCTGATTCTGAAAAGGGCTAATGGGACTTCTAGGCAAGGCGCCTTCCTATATCATTGGCACAGTATACTTGTTTATTTTCTCGGGCCCATTATTGTTTTAACTTTCTCTTTGTAAAAGTTTAGTAGGTCATTGTCGTCTCTCATTCCCATGGTGCCTAAAACTGATCACGCCTCTCAGATATCCATTCTAGATCTAGCAGGAACATACTTGGTTCCTGCCCTCTAGTCTGTTTTGTTAGTTCAACTCAGCTTTCCAAAGCCTTAAAGATTTCTCCAAAGGCTACTAGCCTAAATGTCCCTTGCACATCTTTCTCTGCATACTGCATTCAATGGACTAAGCCAGAAATGTTTGTGCTGTAAGAGAAACAGTTATCAGATGAGGACTCAGGATAGCAGTGTACATTAAAGTAGTTCATACTTAGGGCCCCCAAGAATATAAAACATGCCCAGTCTCCTCATAGTATAGGACTTGCTGCCATCTCTTAGTTTTCATGTGTCCCATAATTTAAAAATAATTTAAAATTAATAATTTAAAATTAGCGTCCCACTAATTTAAGCTCAGAAGCTTTGAATCAAACAGTGAGCAAACATTTATATTAATCATATCAATTCTTGAACCTAATCCTGTCCATACTTCTCTGGTGCTATCTTCCAGCTGAGGTTGGTACTTCCGAGTCCCAACTTAGCAGAAACTGTCAATTTGTCCCAACCCAAAAGGCCATGTGGAAACATTCCATACTGTGCTGACATCCCCCCAAACCTTGCCCACCTCCCCACTTCTAGGCTAACCTCTGTAAACTAACTTCAAGTATAAGGAGTCTAAGTACCCTGGAGCCTGGTAGGTCAGTGTGCCCTACATTTTCTTACATAGCCTATTCCCTGCAGGGGGTATGGATATTCCAAGGGGCCATGAAGGTGCTCCTATTGTTGCCCCTTTATCTCAATCTAACATAGCCTGGATAGCAACATTTCTGTGTTTATTGGTAATATGAAGACATTCTCTTTGAACTAATTAGGAAGAAGCATCCTCAGCTTCCTCTCATCTCCACCTTCCCAGCCCAATCTAGATTATTCTTTATAGTTTATTTCCATCTATTAGCTGTACTAATAGGCCAGATAGGCTCCAAGAGAAGTGATCAAGTATCAAAACTTTGATGATACTGGGACTTGCCAGACAGGCTCTTTAGTACTTGCGTCAAAACCCTAGCCCTTTTGGCCCTGGCTATTTTTGAATGAGGTCTTGCTCTTGCCTAGGCTGGCCTAGACTACACTCCTCCAATTTATGCTTCCTGAATAGCTAGGATGAAAGGTGTACCCCCATCACACCTAGCTTTTGTTTTTAATTCATTGAAATAGGCTCTTATGAACCTTTTGCATTGGCTAGCCTTTATTGTGATCCTCCCAATCTCTCGGCCTCTTGAGTAGGTTGAATTACAGCCATGCATTGTACCTGGCTAAACTCCTCTCCCTCTTTTAAAATCCTATTCTTAAGCCAGTCATGGTAGTTTTTGCACATAATCTCAGCACTCAGGATGCTAAGGTAGAAGGATTTTGAATTCATAGCTAGTATGTTCAACCAAGACAAAAAGTTTTTGAGACTCCATTTCAAACAATAAAAAAGTATGGTGTGTGTGTCTGTCATCCCAGCTGTAGGAAGCAAAAATAGGAGGAGTATATGATTAAGGCTAGAGCAGGAATAAATGTGAGTCTTTACTTGAAAAATAACTAATGGGCTGGGAAGGTGGCTCAGTGGTAGAGCGCTTGCTTTGCATGCCTGAGGCCCTGGGTTCGATTCCTCAGCACCACATAAGCAAAAAGAAAAAAAGCCGGAAGTGGCGCTATGGCTCAAGTGATAGAGCGCTAGCCTTGAGCTGAAGAGCTGAGGGACAGTGCCCAGGTCCAGAGTTCAGGCCCCACGACTGGACCAAAAAAACAAAAAATAACTCAAGTAAAAAGATCAGAGGATATAGCTCAAGATGTAGAGTACATGCCTAACAAGCACAAGGCCCTGAGTTCAAATACAATTATTATTCCCACAAAAAAAGAAGTTTTAATTTTCTGATACAGTTACACGGATAATATTCTGAAACATTTTGGAAAATGTGATCAGCAAATTCTAAGTAGTGGAATGACAGGCACAGAGCACAACATTAGAAAAAAGTGTCCAGCTCCAAAAATACAATGGACTGAACACAAGTAAAAAAAGGAGAAGTTTTCTTCAATAACCTAAATGAAAAGTGACTAGGAGGAGCTGGGCACTGGTGGCTCATGCCTGTAACCCTCACTACTTAGGAGGCTGAGATCTGAGGATCGAGGATCACAGCCAGCCTAAGCAGGAAAATCCATGTGACTCTTATCTCCAATTAACTTAGAAAACCAGAAGCAGAGCTGTGGCTCAAAAGGACAGAGTACTAAGCCTGGAGCAAAAGAGCTCAGGGACAGGCCCTAAGTTCAAGCCCCAAAACCACCACCAACAACAACAAAAGTGATTAGGGGCTCCATAAGAACATGTCCACCTAGAGTTAGTAACAGCATCTGTTCTGTATCAAACATCTACCATAACTAAAGGCACTCTATAGTATATCTTCATTTCAGTGTCAATAAGTAGTTACCAATTTATCAATATCTAGGTTTAGAGATTTGCTTGCTAGAATTTTTAGAGCTGGCCACAATTTAACCTTTTTTTTTGGGGGGGGTGTCCGATCGTGGGGCCTGAACTCTGGGCCTGGGCACTGTCACTCAGCTCTTCAGATCAAGACTAGTGCTCTACCACTTGAG